ATCAACACTAAAACAGGATGCTAGTTTCAACATCGAGTCGACGAAAGAGGGAGACGCGTCTTTGCCCCTATTTCTGAGCCTACCGCAGCAGCATCTGGAAGAATAAAGACTGTGTAAACGTTGCTTCTGTGTACACGAGGCACGAAAAACGGTTATCGCGACGACACTCGAGCTCCGGAAACTCGTTAGAAACCACGATTCTTCGGTCAAAGTCGTGATCATTTTGCGGCAGGAATTTCTTCGGAAAAATACAGGCGCCTCCTCCTGATGTTATTTATCGACCACTGTCGCAACCGATCCGCCCACAGACATGAATCGTGCATCAGGTTGCAACAAAGTATGGCGAAGACGAATAATAACGATATCTATAATTAACGTCCGTCACTGCGTATTCAAAGTATTTGCCGATAATGTCCGTCCTACGGATGTTCTCTCAAATTTAAATGTCAAAATTTCATGAGTGAATCGATAAATTAAGAAAAAAAATTCTTTAGAAACTTGCTCGTTTTTGCTTCGTTTGGAGAAAATTCCAAAAAAAAAGTTTTCATTTTTCTTTCTCTCATTTATTTATTAATTTATTTATATTTATTTCATGCTTTTCACTTTCTTACATAAAGATAGATTGGCCTCTTGCAGCAATACAAATGTTGCATCTAGCACTCACATCGCAGCCAAATATTATTTTGGTGATATTTGGTGCATTGCAGCAGATTCGGTTTCTCAGATTTCTTGAATCGATTGGCAACACATTTTTGATAAACCTAATAATTTTCTTTTGTCGTTTTATATTTTTTGATACGAACTTTTTTTGCGATTTTCTTCAAAACGAAGCAAAAACGAATAAATCTGAAGGACTTCTTTTTTTAGTCTACACGCTCTACACGCTCTCAAAATTTTAATATTTAAATTCGGGACACTATATATTCCTGTTGATAGAGGATTTCTTATAGCATGTATTATTACACGGAATCGTCCGTTCTTAAAAGATTGAAGAATTTCTCTCTTCGACAACAGTCATGTTGGATTTTCTTTCATCTTGCATTGCGAAAATTCTTACGTTTCACATGCGCTTCTTCCGAAGATACGGAAGAATCTGATGCGAGAAAGGAAATTTTCGACGCCGGCGGCGCCACGATGTCGCTTTTAAATTTAGATCTCGAGGGAACGGATGATACCGATACGACATACGCTCCGACGTCTTTTAAAAATTTCAATCTCGGATACACAGGCGCCTCTCTGACGTCACGGTTTAAATTTTCAGAAGTAACTATCAACATAAAGTCAGCTGCGGATTCGTTTCCTGCAGGCATCGTCGACAATCATTGAATTCTTTCGCGAGAAATAACGGATAATATTTTATTATTTGAGAAAATTCACGTATTTTCCTCCCTCTATTTCATTTCCCGTCGATCTAGATTCGCGCAATTTTAATCGCGAACGGAATTCATATTGCATCTTTGGCATCGTCGACGACGCTTGCATAGGACAGCATCGATTAATCCGCCTTTAAGGTCACTGACTCGAAAGATTATTGCCAACAAGCTGCTTTCGAGAAAAGAAATAAAATACGTGGGATAAGCGTTGTCAATGAACTTCAAGAGTAGCTATTTTAATACAATGCCTCTTTCTTTCGTTAGAAAATATCACGTCGGAAATCTATAACGCTGTAGGTCGGAGATTTACGGTGAACCGTAATCGAACGGACAAAATCGAACGAACAGGAACGCTTTATTAAGTCGCTGCTCAACGAGGCGAGATGCCAAATACATCGCTTACCTCTGTTCTCGAGTTATGTACGGCCTATCGATCTTTTTCGTTCCTCGTGCACTTCCGTTTGGCGCCTTGGCATCGCAAGCAGTCGACGTTCCCGTATTCCACGCGCGTGTCTCGGCGACAACACGCTGTGCACCTGCAGCCAATGCATTTGCACCTTGCATACTATGCAGCATGACTCGGGACAAGGTCTCGAACGCGCCCGATGCGCCGTGATAAACTATTTGCGTGAACGAAGGAGCGCGATTAAACGGAGGGCGCGAGACCGACGAAGGACGCGCGTAATCGAATGTCAGAGTATGCAAAAAATGTTATATGTCAAACGATGAGCTACGTAATTTCATATTGAAATTACTTGGATTTTTTTGCATTTATTATCCGTAATGCAAACTCTTTACAGGTATAACATTACACGCTAGGTGCATAATTATGTTTTACTCCGATAATTTTTATCCGAATAAACCCCTAGTACCTCTCTGGAATTCTACGGCGGTATTAGAGAGAGGAAATTACAACGTGCGCCGAGAACAATCAAAGAAATTCCGTTCCCCTCGACGATCGAACAATTGACATCGCGATATCCGATCGTTAAGCTTTGATAAATACTCGGTATCGATTGTGGCATCGTATTAAGGTCGTTTGACGGGGATTCGCGACGCGAAGGAGAGGGTGGACGCACGCGAGGGCGATCGTTTTGCTCTCCTATTGCAATCCAATTGTGACAAATGCTTCCAAGTTCCGCGTTTATTTGCGCGGACTTCAAAACTGTTCGTCATCAGACATTCTCTTCCGCCTACAACTGTCATCCTTTAAAAATCATAGCGCATCGTATGACAACGCGGTATTCATAGCTGATGTCTGCGGGCTGACTCGTTGAATAAATAATTTAGACACGAAACACAGTTTTGCGCGTTATAGTTCAATGTCTATACATCCTTACTTTGTAACAAACTTTTCGAGATTTATTATAAAATCATGACAACCATTTCTCTTTGTTCAACGCATATTGTCAGTTTTGTGTTACTTTTATGGCAGAATTGATCTATGCAAACTTGGCACAGTCTATTTTTGTTAAATTAAATTTTTAACATAAAAATTATTATTTTATTTGTAGTAACAATTTAGTTTATAATCGAAGCCGTAAAAAATACATTCTGAAAAAATGATTCTTATTCGATTTTAAGGTAAAAAAATCCCTAATATATCTCGATTCAAGAATTCTTTGTAATGATTTTTCTTTCGTTGTTGTATTAAGAGTTATTTTATTGTTAGATTTGTTCTGAGACAAAAACCAATTAATTTTTTACGTATTTTCTAATTTTAATTATAAATAATATATAGCAAAACAGATTTAAAACATCTTTAAAATTGCATTCGATATAAATAACTGTTAAACAATTTAATTGCAAACGAAAGAAAATTACTACAGACAACTATAAACGATTCTTAAAAAAATACAGTTGAGTTGAGATACTTTGAAATTGGAAAAGTTGCGTATTTCTCATCAATTGCAAATATATTATAACTTTTAAATAACAATTGCAAACGAATAGAAAATCATTATAGTATTTTCAAAACGATTCTTGAGATATCAATGTTTTTTTTGGTGAATTATTTTGTTCAAAATGTATTCTTTTATTATTTCGACTACAAACCAGTAGTTTAAAATTATTATAGACGGCTTTACGGGGAAATGTCATCATTTTCCGTATTAAAAACTTAGTTGATTAAAAGTAGGGTACCAACTTCTAGATATCAGATCGCGATGTGTAGCGAGTGAACGGTATAATAAGCTCATTTCTATATCTCGCTCCGTGTGGACGCATGTAAATGCGGGCACAAACTCAATTGTCTACACCCACCGGATAGCCTTCGCGGTCCGTTGACCGTCTTCGTAGTCGTCGTTCAGAGATGGATATATACCATATCGCGTCGTCCCCGTTTTCATCAGCGCGTTTAATCCGTGACCCGAACTCTCATACGAAACGTGACCGCGCTCGAATCAAGCGCGACCGCGCATTCTCGGTCCTTGAAATCCCTTCTCGTCTTTATATATCCGCTATCGAAGGCAAGAAATACGTCTCGATCAAACTTTTATTTCAATCACTCGAAACTAACTCGTTGACTAAAAATACAACGTAATTGAATTTCTCCTACGACCTCGGGGGACGCGAGTCGTTGGCGAGCGCGACTCAAGCGTGAGCTTTCGTTATCATTATCGCGACGATCCAATTCTCGTCGATCGGGACATTTGAAAGTCGAATCAAATGTCGCGTGATTAAACACAGACGATGAGTTCTTCGAGTGTGACCTCATTTCGATCAATTCGCTCGATTTGCTCCGCAAATCGGCTCGATGACGTGATCGAAAAGAATCGCAAAAGTCTGGCTGCGAATTATTCAGGTGTGTCTAAACGCGTTTCGCAACAACTATTAAGGGTAGCAAAGTTTCGATGAAACTAACTCCCTCGACGCTTTTGTTGTTCGCTCGAGAATCCAACGGCTTAAACTGTCAACTCCTCATTGGCCGATCGTGCCAATTAATGAAACCGTGCTCGATGAAACGAGCAATAAAAGGGAAATAAAAATGCAATGGAAGCGTTTATTGGCTATCATTGGATCCTATTGGATGCGTATGCTCTGTTCCTCGGTTACGAAAATGTTCCATTAGTCTCTCGGGCTGAACCTAACAGACGTAACGATAGTCAAACGAATAGCGGCAACAGCGAACGATCGGCTCGTGTAATTATCGGCCGTCTGGTACAATGATCGATGCGATACACCATTCGATTGTACCGCATTTGACTGTATTTTATTTATGTATCGTTTAGACTCCGGCTTTTTAGATATGATAGATAATATCATATCTTCGTTCATGAGAAATGGTTATTTATTAATAACATCGAAATGTCACGTAACGCTATATAATCGTTTTACGGTATTAAAGAATTTAAAGTAATTAAGAATGTAAGATAATGTGTATTTCTTTAAATGAACCACAAACACTTTGATTAAAATTGTTCCACTTTTTATCTCAAATATTTTTCTAAGATAAAAGATAAGTAAAGACTCGGTCGTCCACAATCATTTAAAGATTCAAGAGTTTAATACAGCTTTTCTTAATAGCATTCTTAATAGTTCCCATTTCAATGATCTTTATTATTAATTTTGCGCGATAATTATTACGACAATCATGGTTTATCTCAGATATGATATAATCTGTTGCAGACGTAACAGCATGGTATGATACCAGCGACTGACAATTTCCCGGAAACATGAAGAAACATCCTCACATCCTTGCGTGTATCTTGCTCCTGCTGCCTCTGGCGTTGGGTCTCAGTCTGCAGGAGGACGACCTGGTCTTCGACGATGTCGGCGAGGACAATGACAATGACAATGACAATATGTCTGCCAGGCTTTGGGATTTTGGGTCCGCTCTGATAAATAATCATCATGCGACTCACGATCGATCCGATCATAACGAGCAGGAGTCGTCGTCCAGGGATGGCAGGAGGCATGCCTCTCGGATCGAAAGAGCATGGGGCGTGTCGGATTCCGTCGTCCCAGTTGGCCATGTTTTCAAGATGAAAATACCGCGGCAAGCTTTTTCGGGAAATGTGGATTTTTATGAGGTAAGTCGGTGACGTGGATAGCAATTTATCCTCCAAGTCTGGGTTCGTGAAACGAAACCGGAAAATTATCTGACCAGCGGTCTTGTATTATACGGACAAGTCTCCTCGATGAGGAAAATGCAAGGATCCGAAAAAAGATAGCCGCATTAGAGAGAACTTACTTTAAGTACATAAAGATATATTCAAAAATATATGAAGAGCATCGCTTTTAAAATTTCGACAAATAAAAGATATTCGCTATTTCATTTAAATTACATATGCAATTAATTATATAATTACATTTTATATAATTATATTTTGTAGAAATATCTTATTATATAAAGAAGAGAAAAAAATCTCTCGAATATTCGTATCTACGGGAAATAAAAGTCGTGTATGAATTGGATGACCCTTCTTTCGTATTTATCGAACTCCGTCAAGTATGTCATCAAGTACACCGAGATGTCGGCTGAGGGCTATTGATTTACTTATTCTCACACACACACTTGTCATTTTCTTCCCTCTCCAAGTTCGGGTGAGATGCAGCGTCTTCCATTGAATCCATATTTGCGATTCAATTTGCTCCCCTCACGGCCGGAAATCCTTCTTAGGTTGAATGGCTCTAGTCTCCCTTTGTCCTCGAAAATCATTCGGGCAACGCTCATTCCGTCGCAAAACGATTCAAACATTCTCGCATTCAATATGATACAAATAATTACCCTTTCACGAGGAATAACTAAGACAAAATGTGTCTATCAGGTTCACGGGACCAGTAATCGCGATCGTTTTCCGGAATGGATGTACTGGGACGACGCGGCGGCCACTCTCCTGGGTGTGCCGTTGAAAGAGGACACGGGCAATTATCACCTGACCGTCACGGCTTTCGGTATGCATCATGACACCGCCAAGGATCAGTTCGTCGTGCAGGTCATACCCGAGAAACTGGAGGAGCTCAAGCATAAGGACGGCAGGGTGAGTGTTTGTGAGTGAAAACGTTAACTCGGTAACGAGAACGCGAGCGGCATGAGAGAATCGTTAGCTGCGAAAACGTTCCCCTGGCATCGTTTCAAGTTTCTTATCCAAGTCGGACAACAGGTCTCCGTCACTACTTGCTTGCTATTTTTGCGCTAATGAATAATATAACTTAAAGATAGAAACGTACATGTGAAAAGGACTTTTGTGAATATTTTGTATCGCATTTAAATTAACAAGAGACATTTCCATTTCATTTGTGCGCGACACCAAGGAAACAAAATAACGTTAAAAAGTTGTTCAATCTGTGTGATAAAAAGAGGAAAACGCTGCGTTTTTTAGTCTACAATTTAATCTCGCGTGATAAAATCCGCGTTTGATGAATTTACAGTGGAATTTAGAGCAGTTTCTGCGATATAAATCTGTCGAAACCGCTCGCGTCCACACATTGCGTTTAAATGCAGAGAAATTATTCCCGTGGACATTAATTGATTGACGTCAATTGATATTAGCACCACGTGCGTAACGCAATGTCGTACGACAATGCGTACACAATTGCATGCATCGCGTCCGTACATATTTCGATCGGCGATTTCAATCTTTGAAGCTTTGCGTGCTGGTAGGCGTAGCAAACAAAAGCGACTGATGGAACCGGAACGACTCTAATTGCAGACGCATTGCGACGATGGAGAGGAGCAGACGGTCCTCACGATTTTGCTGGATGCGCCAATAGAGAAATTATCGCCTTTCGTCAGGACGAACGCCATTGAAAATCTCGCGGGATTTCTGGGAATGCACACGGTATTGATTTCATCATTTTGATTTAATCATCTTGATTTAATCATCTTGATTTAATATCCCTTGAAATTAATTGATGTTGTTGTTTTTGCATTTTATTTTTTGACTACGATAAAAAAGAGTATATTTTCGAGAAATTAAAATAAATTTTTATTATACATACGCGATAAAAAAAAAACAATTTAAAAATTTAAAAACAGAGTTTTAATTAATTTAATTTTTGTTGAATTTTTTCTCTTCCATTTTTCGTATTATGAGTCTATTGTATAATTTATTTTTTTATAGAGCGCATTCTCGATGCATTCTCAAGGCCTGAAGGCACTAGGTTCCTCCGTTATTCTTAGCGGACCTGGGAACGTTAGACTTTCCAGATTTAGAAAGAATCATTTGACTACTATTCAATGGCAGGTGAGATTTGACATACTTAACGATCTTTGTTTAGCGATTGCTCGTTTTTACATCAGATATATAACCGCATCGACATTTTACGAGTTATCAGCTTTTACGATATCTCATAGATATTCGATAAAGTAGCTTTGTGAGAAACATGCTCGCCGAACAACAGGATATATCTGTACATATAGGTCGGCTGCGACGGTCACTTATGGAAACATCAAGCGGAAATGGTGAAACAACTGCGGGAGCAAGCAAAAGACGGCACTCTAGCGGAAGTTCTTCAGTTGCCCGTGATATTGTGGCATGTAAGGACGGATTCGAGTTCCTCGTTGAGAAATAGACGAGAAGCCGGTTCTGGCGACTATGGCGACGCGGACGGTTACGATGATAATTACGATGATAATTACGAGGACAATGAGGACGATTACGACGGCGAGGAGGGCGAAGACGATAACGAGGATTCGCGAGTACCGCCGACTTATATGCCGGATGTGAAAATTCCGGAGCATCCACACAGGCATCACCATGGCGAGGAGACGATCGATTGGAAGGTAAGTTGCTTGCGATGCATGTATAACTGCGATCGTCGGGAATAGTTGCGGGGATAATTGCAGAAATAAATATTACCGTCATCCTTATATTGTTCTTTTCAGAACGAAGACGTCGATGAAGAAGAGATAATACCGAGAATGCGGCAAATAGATCTGGAAAATAAAACAACCACGCCTACGGTAAGTATCCTCGTGAAATTATGCGATTGCGTGATTCCTTCCTTTCGTCGATGATTATATTTAAAATATAATTTCTCTACGATTTTTAAAATTCCTTTTCTGTACGCCTTTATTCGCCATGCCATATCGCTTCCGGAGGATTCGTTGCGCTTGAAGAGATTAGAATAGCTACTGGGTATTTTTTAATGCTGGCCTATTTTTTGTATCTCGCAAACTGTATACTTGTCCGTGCAAATCTACGTTCTAAAGTCAGCTGATTGCGTCGCGAAAGTCTTCGCAGACGCCTGATACTTTGTTCTCAACTTGTAAACGAACAGAAGCCTGATACTTTGTTCTCAACTTGTACATTTTCTTCGTCTCTTCGTAACTAACCATTCGTTTTTTCGTGCCATACATCGCATCTACTAACGATTTCGCAGACAACAACCACTGAACTTACTACATCATCACCATCAACAACTACTTCCACCACCACGACGACAAGTACAACCACTACCCTAGTCGCGCCAACGACGCTATCTACTACTGCCAGTAGCACCACAACGACTACAACATCAGCCGATACAACAACAACAGCTAGCATCTCTACCGCTGTAGATCCATCGATAGAATCTCCGAAATCAGAAACCACAAACGAGGAATCTTCGACGGAGAAAACGAAACATGTGGAACCCGTTGAAGCCATTACCGTTTTACTGACCGTTCCTTCGGATATCATCACAACTCCTCTTCCTATAACTACTCTACTGCCTCTTAGCACAGCATTCGTCCAGACTAGCGTGCCCGATAAAGTTGAGACGGAGATCGTCGTCGGTATCAATAACGTTACGACGGAAGAGGTAATGCTTACGTGCTTTAGCGCTTTTCTCATTTGTATTATACTTCCATGCCGCTGTACACGTACCAACTTCTTCATACGCATATCGTGTCGAGTTGTCAAACTGTCGCTTCGCCGAGATAAATTGTTATTCTCTGATAAAAATGTGATCCGTTATTATAACGGTCCATTTTATAAATTTCTATCACAATCATGCAAATTTCTCTATTAGAACTATTATTTCATTCTTCCAAATTGCAGTAAGTGCTCTGCATTTTAATGTACGATCTTTTCTTGCTTAGCCGGAACAAACTACGACTTCGATTAGAGAACCATCGACTACTATATCGACGCCGATTGTAATCACGGACGTTAACACTACCACTCCTTCGTCCGTAGTCGTAATGAACGTTAGCACTATTATTACTACCACTACTACGCCTGTGAACGTAACACATGCCACAACCACGACTACTAACGCGATATCGTTGACATCGGATCTTCAAACGACATTGAGCACGATACCGTCTACTACTACCAGCACGATATCGCCTACCACTACCACTACGACTACAACCACTACTACGGCTCCTCCTACTACTACAACGACAGCTCGGATTATTACGGAGAGTATCGAGTACGGCCAACTCAACTCCCCGCCAAGACGCGACAGAAGATTAAAAAAGATACCGGTAACCGCTGGTAAACCATTGAGCTATGTTATACCAGCCAACACCTTCATCGATTTCGAAGATGGTAACACGAGGAATCTGAAATTGAATCTGTACTGGCACGGCGCACCACTCAAAACGACTCATTGGCTCCAATTTAATCATCATTTGCAGGAGATTTATGGATTGTAAGCTAACGTATACTCTATTATTTTTTATTCTCGTATGAAGAATAAAAATAGATTATTTATCAAATTTTTTCTTAAACAGGCCTCTCGAGAAAGATATATCTACTTGGAATTACGAGTTAATTGCCACGGATAGCGAAGGCGCCAATGTTTCCGATAGTCTCGACATTCATGTTCAGCAGCACAAGTTGAGTCGTAGCGTCAATCACGAATTCACAATTTACTTGAGGATCGATAAACGAAGCGAATTCCCAACAGATGTTGACTGGGAACGCAAAGTACGTATTTTTCATTCTTTCCCTTTTCTTCATTGATTATTTACTTTCTTTCAATTGTAGGTAATCCGAAGCTTGGCTGTACTTTACGGGAACGATATCCAGCATATTACAGTTCGTTCCATTGAAATCAATACATCCGATCGTGAACAAGTCATTTTTACATGGACTAACGATAACGTTCCCAGAAGCAGCGAATGTCCAAAAGATCATATAAACAGATTATGGCGCGTAAGTAATTACTATATCATTTCTATCTTGTACAACAAAATTTTACAACTTTTTAAACAAACTTGCGCAAATTTCAAAAATATTATACGTGTGTCACCAGGTGCTCGTCGACAGTACCGGGGATCCATCGTCTTCTCTAATAACAGTACTCGCTCCAGAAATTACTGTTAAACGTGTCGTATTCCAAGGTATTGGACAATGCGAGGATATGAATCGTCTTGAAGAACCAAAAATTTCTACCGAAGAGCCGAAAGTTAATTTCCCGCCTGTACCGAGGAATCAAGTCGACCATGTTAATGCGACAGTTGGACAATTGCTTGTATTTAAAGTGCCAGAAGTACGCTTTTATTAAGTCTTTTATCAAGTATTGCTTTTACCATTATATGATGAATAATATATTTAGTAAATTTGTTATATATTTTTGCAGGACACTTTCTTCGATGCTGAGGATGGATCGTCGCGAAATATGAAAATGTCACTTTTGACTATCGATCGAATACCTATTCCACCTCACGAGTGGCTACAATTTGATAGCAAAAATCAAGAGTTTTATGGAGTTCCGATGCGTCCTGATATCGGCCGTAAAGAATATCAGTTGGTTGTCACTGATAAAGACGGTAAGTTTCATCTGGGTTTTATTCTCGAAAATATAAAAAATATATTCGTATATATAATATTAAATTAAAAATCGTCGTTTTTCTAGGTGCGAGCAGCACAGATGGATTGGTCGTTGTCGTTCATCCGGCGCCGCCCATGATGCATACGGTGGAATTTTCAATAACGTTGGATATTCCTTACGAATCCTTTGCGCATTCCGCGCTTCAGAAGCGTAACTTTATCGAGAAACTGCGAGATCTCTACAAAGATAAAGACACGAGTGCCATCTCGCTACACAGCATCTCGAATGGCAGTACCGTAATCACATGGCATAACAGAACTCTGCCTACGTCATCTTGCGCTGATAAGGAAGTCAAAAGGTTACGATCCGTGCTTGTGAAGAATGACAACGATCAACGTTCTGTAACGGATAAGGTGTTGGAAATAATGGGCGTGAAATTCCCTGTAAAACAAATTACGGTGATCCCGAAGGGTGTCTGTCTCGGTGAATTGACAGACGTGCATTCGCCAGATAGCCGCGTACCACCAGTGGATGATTCCACATCGGTCGGCGCGTTCCGTGACGATTACCTCCTCACTTTTGTCCTGCCGGCGATTATTATCGCCGCTATGCTCATCGTAGCAGGAATCATTGCGTGCGTCTTACACAGGCGAAGACGTAGCGGCAAAATGAGCGTCAGCGAACAAGATGACGAGCGACAGAGTTTTCGCAGCAAGGGAATTCCCGTAATTTTCCAGGATGAATTGGAAGAAAAGCCGGATCCTGGTAATGATAATTTATATATTATTAATAGTACCATTAATAAAAATATATTGACAATATGTGTTATGTTATCGATCTTTCATCTTGACATTTATTCTTATATTTTAGGCAATAAATCGCCTGTCATCCTAAAAGAGGAAAAGCCACCCCTTCCACCACCGGAATATCAGAAAGCCGAAGACGGAGCTGATGTACCGATGCTCCCGAAGGAGAATTCCGAGGAACCGTATCAGCCGCCGCCGCCATTTGCCACGAATCGCGACACCAATCGGCAAAATCGTCCTAAGCCCACTCCGACGTACAGAAAACCGCCCCCTTATGTGCCTCCCTAACAAAATACGGTACACTCGCCTACACGTAAATATATGCTAGCAATGCTCGGAGACTCACCAATACACAAGCAAAACCAAATCAATTATAAAAAGCAATCTCGAATTGGCGACGATGACAATGATGATCGTGGGATATTGAATGTTTATAGCGACGTTTAAAAAAAGCCCTTCCATTCATCCGGTATGACAATATATTGCTGAACGAGACGTGAATGAAGAGAAGAATCTTCCACTGAGAATCTCCCCACTGAGAACTCACATGCGTTTTTACTTATTTTGTATATGTACTAATACATACAACGGCACGTCTCATCACCGATCGATAATACGTTCGAAAAAGATCTCTCTTTCTCTCTCTCTCTTTCTCTCACATACACACGTACACACATTCAATTGTCTATATTTCACGCGAAAGAAAAAGAAAAGTTTTTCTAGGAAGTATGGGAATACAAATCACGTGTTGCCTTTCGTAAAGAAATCAATTGTAGGGAAGGATCCAATGCTCCGAACTCGATACGTGAATTTAGTTTAGAGATCGTTGTAGAACCGAGACAACGGTAGAATAAATGTACTTTATTCAATTTTATAGCATTGGAGACAGCAACGATACTCGTAAATATTTCAATAATCAGTGCCATTTATTAAGCAATAAGGATATCCGACTGTGAATAACAGCACGTGTAATTACTACGGTTCTACGGATTTATTGCAATGTTTACACAGAGTCTCCAGGTATCAAAAAACGGATTTAACGAAATACATTGTATTACGCACCTACAACGTATAACACTGCCAGAACGATAAATGCATGATATATCGCCAAGTGAATCGGTTTTTCATGATGCACATATATAATGTAGTATAATATTATATAATATTATTTTATTCCCATTTTTTCTTATTTCTAAATATTTTATTTAGATTAATTTGTGGTAAAAAATAAATTAAATATTAGTTTTGTGAATGGATAAACTGGCTCATTTGGCGATAGCTTTTTACTTAAGGAGAAAATATATATTGGAGAGAATTGAAATGTTTTTGAGACATAAATTTAAAGAAGCGATTATGATATACATGCAATATGCCATTGCAAAATGACAGCAAATGCTTCCATGGGCACAGTAGGCCATGCAGATAACTTATCTAAGGTATAAGAAAAAACACATTGATTATAATAATATATACAAATATAAATATATATAAATACGTATATATACATATTATATCTATATTTGTTCGATAGAGATGTGAAAGTCTGCGGTCATTTAAATACTGCCAGACCAATCAAGTTATTTGCATTTTACTTTTCGCTGTGGAAGAAAGATCTATTTCTGTTTGTTTCGCGCACAATTTTTAACGCGCTTTATAACTTTTATGACTTAACAACCGCAATAAATATGCATATTTTTATTATTTCTTTGAAACCTCTTAACACGTACGAGTTAGTATCGAAAGATCAACTCGGAACGGAAATACTGACGAAGCACTGACGTATATAAGGATGAGACTATTTATAATTTAGATTTTACATAGTTACCAAGCCAAAAAATACTTAATGTTTAAAAAGAGAGGGGAATATAAAGTAAAAGTAAGGACGTATTTGTAATTGCGAAAGAGAGCGTGACTCGCACTCTTTAAGACGCATTTTTTAATAATGTTTTTTGTAATTTTTTAATCGCTGCGCGACTAGACATACACAACTCATCCGCTATCATCGTTTGTATGTCCGGTGCGACGAAAGAGTGCGAGGTATGGTACGAGTACGTATGCAGCCGTTTCTTCAATACCTCGATAGTTTCCTGATATTTTTGAAAGGAAATACGAGAAACGAAAAAAAAAAAAAAAGAAAAAGAGTTTCGTATTGCGTTTCAAATTTGTAAAATCCGTTTGTCGATTTGTCAATACGGACGATAAATGGATCGACGAATTTGCGAGCGCGTCTATATACTGGTATGAATGCTAACGATTAATACGTATGTAAGATGCTAAGAAAACGTTTCATATACAAAGGCTACATAAAAATTATGGTATAATATATTAACTATTAATTCATGTCCTTGTAACGTAGAAAATTTCATATACACTACTGAACACAAGGGAAGCTCATGAAATATGACTCATAGATTTTTTTCTTTCTTTCGCGAGCATATATGTATGTATCAAAACTTCTGTCAAATGGTTTCTCTATGATCTTGACAAGAGAAACGACTTGTATAGTTATATATTAATTGCATGATTTAATTGCTCGCGGAAGATAGAATCGATGAGTTGTCTGTCATGAACTAGAATACTTTTCATCGCTCGCGTATCTTGTTTATCGCAGAATCTTTTAGAAAAAGAAAAGAAATTGCAATCGTCGCCCGTACGTGATTGCTCTTATGACGTTTTATATCGTGAATTAATATACATGTATAAGTATGTTTTATTATTTTTTATAAGTACGAATATAAATATATCTCATATGTTCTCAATTTCCCTATTCGAATATAACAATTTATGTTATCGTAAGATGGGATTATATCTATCTGTAATTGTGATATTTCTTTGTGTGCGATTTTCATTGAAAAAATAAATAATTTATATTGTATTGATATCTCAAATTCCAGCAGATAATTCTATGTTATCAATTTTTTTATGGAATCAAAATTTTATTATCTTAACGCACTGAACTGTATTTATTATTTCAGGCAAAATCACATCACAAAGTAATAACGTAGTGGCTAATAAAGGAGGAGTAACGCTATTTAGTAGTATAATACTTGAAAATTTACATAATACTTGTAAATCGACGAATTATTGAACACACCAGAAGTGCGATGCATTATAAACGGTCAGGTACAGAACTTTAATATTCCGTTTGTAATCTGCGGTAAACAAGCATAACTCATATCATGCTTCTAATCATATCATTGTTCTACACGTATCCCTTAAGCGCTACAATTGTGTTACTTGTGAAAATGATGATAATGTATGATAAGATGTACGATATTTATACGATAGAAGGGTCAAAACACCTGAAAGGGGATACTACGAAAGAAAGAAAGAAAGAAAATAAATTTGTCAAAAAGGGCATATTCGTTAGCGGTGAATTTTCTGGCCTGTGTGTGAAAAATGTTCGAAAGTATTTTATAACTGTGTGTAAGAAAAAAAAAGAGAGAAATGAAGAGAACAAATGACGAAGTTAATGTGCCCATGACTTTCGTATACGGCCGCTTTCTGAGAAATCGGGCTAACAGCAGAGACAAAGTAAAAGTTCCATTAGAGAAAAATAAGGAAGGGGGAAGAAAAGGAGAGAGCTATCTCGCATCGCCCATACGAACATGTGTTATATACATAGCTCTACATATATATATATATATACACACACCTAAGAGTAAACATATTGACTGGGATTTTCAGATTATTTTTATTCGCTATAAGAGCGCTTCGATATATCAATTGAAACGTTTTGCGTTGATGTATTTGCGAAACGCAGGAGCGGCTTTCGTACTTGCTTCTCCGCTGAATAACGAAAAGCCATCGACACGTATCTCTTAAGTTTATGCTAAATAAAACATATCTCGAGAGAGAAAAAAAAAAGAGGAGAAACTCCGCGAAAAGTGAAGAACGACATTGCTTCGAAATAAAGCGCGCGCGCGATAAAGTTGAGATCACAAAACGATATCGCTCTCGTCCGTACTCAATGAAAAAAAAATATATCGAATTAATAATAATATACATATACAGATATATATCTCTCTCTGAGACAAGTACTACATACTAAACATGTGTAAAGTTAAGAGTTAATAAAACCATTTTAGGATACGGCGGGTGTTAATCTCTCATTCATTCTCCAGCAATATCAACGTCATCTCCAAAGATCAAACAATTACGGGCATGTATATTCACATTGCATGTTTAAGCAATTACTAATCACGCGACCAAGATTAATTTTATTGGCTCACGTGCTTAACGACAAGATTCGACTTTGAACAGTAATATTCGATCTACTTTTTCTAGTGTTCTTGATATATAATTTTTAATTTGTTACATATATATTATTGATTATATAATATATAAATAATTGCATATTTATATATTATACACAATTTATATGTAATATATATTTTATATATATAGAGATGAAATGTATATTTAGTATTATTTGGGCAATTTTGTTGTTCTTTTTTTGTGAAATTTAATTGGTTAAAAAGAATTTAATGCATTTAATGGTATATTATCTTGCAAATTAGATTCCAAAAGATGTTGCATTAGCCGTAATTTAAAATACTTGAATTCGTACGATTATATAAGATTTTCAAGAATGCAATTTGTATTCGTTTCTCTCACGTTTTAACATTCTGAATTTACATGCAAGATAGTTTGCGGTACATGCTTACGTCATGAAAAAGAATAATATTGTGTGATTGCTTTAGACAAAGTTATATACAATAGAAAAGGAAGGAAATGGAGCTCTTAAAATGATTTCTCGATAAATATCATTGGTGTGACTAAGCTAATGTTATTTCTTGTTTGTGTAAAGATAAACACCAAACAGTTATGTAAGAAGAATTGTCATTTCATAAAAATCATATTCTCACTTTATTTTTCACTTTATTATACACATCGTATTGTTTTAAATTTTAAACTTTATCGATGTGAAGGAAAATCGGAAGTATCGTGAATGCCATAATTGTTTTGTTAGAAAGGTCATAAATATTACAATTTTTTTGTTAGAATCAAAGATCTTTGATTATATTTATTATATATATATATATATATATATATATATATATATATATATATAATATATTTGTCGTTTTAATTTTATTATTTGTGTTTTTATATATTTATTTATATAAAAAATCTAAAATATCGAGTCTTATAGCAATTCTTCAAAATTGTCCGGAAGAAATTTGTTACGATTCACTGCGATTCAAGGATTGATCGAGTCGAAGAGATAAACAAAAATATTTTAGCACACGCGAAATATCTCAACATGCACACGCGAGTAAATTGCAGTAGAAAAGACGCGCGAAAATTATATTTCGCAAGAAGAATGTCATTTGAATAGTGAATATTATTAATGTTTTGACGCGAAATCTTGCCAAAATTTATTAATATTTATTAGAAAAGTTCTCTCAATCTTCAATCTTCTGTCATCATTATTGGCGCAATAAAGACAAAATTAAAACATTATAGTATGTAACATATTCTTTGACGTCATATAACGTGTTATTTGTGCTTAACAAAGGAAAAAATTCTCGCGCACGCGATTCAATCACTTATTGTTCGCAAACATAATATAAATGCTTTTTATTTGGTGAAAGAGTGTGAATCATCTAATCTAATCTTGATAGCGCTATGATAATTCATTAATTAACTTTCTTTGCAACGCATCAAATGCAAATAATAGATAATAATAGATAATAATAATTGATTTTGCTTATCGTTATATTAGTGTATTATATTTTATCTTTGATTTGATAAAAAACATTTGATAGTGAAGGAGGAAATTTTATTGCAATGAAAGCACAGAAATACTACATTACAAATATTACAAATTTTTTAAGAAATAATATCTGAATGAGTGCAAAAATAGTTTGTCTAGTTTGTCAAATAAAATTGGGAAAAATTATAGTGCTTTAATAATAACTTTCATATATAATAGTTTTCCTAGCAAACATTATGGAATTTGACATTTTCGATTTTTTATTATATCGATATTTAATTATTGTAGTTTTAATGTGGCTTTTTCACCCATAGTAAAGAAAATTGTTTTAATTACCTTCATTTTGAAAGAACCTAAATTCCAAATTTCTTATTTAAAACAGATTTATATAGGTGAACAGCGACAAATCAATTTGTACCAATCTAGGCGGGATTCGAGATTTATTTAATATTTCACGATCAAGTGAATCGTTCGAAAATGCATCAATATATAATAGCGTCCGTACAATTATTTATCGATCATCGATCCGTCAGCGTCGCGTGCACCGATCTCGCCTCACCTCGCCTCGCCTCGTCCCGCCTCCTAGTTCGCACGTGTGCCCGCTCATGTGTACGCGCGCACGGCGGGGAGCGCACACGTGTAAATATTTACCGGCGCATGCGCGGCTGGCCGGTCCAGGCGCATTCACGTGACCGCGCGCGATATAAAGCCGTGCCGATGCGCCGGCCGGTATTACGGTCGTAGGAGTAGGGCGCGTAGGTTATACCGGTTCCCCGATCGTGGACGAAAACAGAGACGCGAGAGGAAACTACGATTATTCGACCTGGAAAGTATCGCGCGTCTGGGAGCGAAAAAAAACTAGAGATCCTTCTCTTGGCGGAGGACATAGCTTGCGAAGAATCGCGAGTCGAAACGATCGTGAATTTGCGCGATTTCGAAATCTCCGTAACGATTGAGTGAGCAAGCTGAATATCGAGTGTTCGTTTATTTGAAAAGTTTGGCACAAGCAGATAAGATCGGGTGTAAACTCTACTTGGATCTCAATTTCCTGTAAATCGCTTGTGCCTGTATGCAATGGGTTCGAAGGACGAGTGGGACTATTCCATCCAGAATGGTAAAATATTATAAATGTTTCTATAAAATTTGCGCGAATTGCACATTGCGTCGACGTTTATCGAGCAAGCAAAGTTATTCAAATTTAGTACGATTATAAAGCAATGTCATGTATAAATTTTATAAATTTTTGAGTAAGAATTATAGATGTGGAAAAATCAGTGGACAAATTTTGGAGAACAATAATTTTTTTTTTGCAAAATTTGTAATTTTCTGAAAATTAGTTTGCACAATTATGATTATCACATTGATTATTTTCTTTTAAATTGAGCGTTGCATTTGATTCTGCATGGTTTACCTCGTGCATTCTGATAAGACCGTATCGAAATTATTGATTGACCACTTTGTCAATCGCCGTACATTCACGACCCATTCGTCATTCAATATGTATATAACCAGGATATTTTTGTATTAATGTTACAATCACTATGTACTAGCTAGCAATTGCACTAGCCTGGTGCCTCGTTCGCGGTTTACGATTAACTGTGGCGAATGAACGTGTTAGCGATAACACTTATCACCGGAATTAATTGAATCAGAGTTGCGGAAGACATGAATTACAATGAATTAATTTCAATTTGAAAATTAATTTCATTGTAAATTAGTCAGAATTTTCTTTTCCTTAAAAGGAACATAATTAAAGGATGACATTAAAATCTATATTTATATTTTAAATAAACGCACGTATGTAAACTGACTAATTAAAATCTTGACGGAAAAAATATCCTTAAATTAAATATTTTTCCTTTCATTTCTGGCAAAATTATTTTTTACGATGAAATTATATTTCTTATTTGTTCTTTATCGCGACACGACTCTGACAAGTTGGACAATGGGCTCTTTGGGTTTTTCATTTTGTCGTATCCTTGAGCGTTGTCTTAGGCTATATTAAATGTAACGGTAATAACGGAAAATATGGTGGCACACGTGTGTAAATCTTTTTCTTTTATTCTTAAAAACTTTCTCTTTTTCCCAGAAAAGTTTTCCAAATTGAAATCTTGCGGGAACTTTATGCTTTGAGAATCACGCGACATATGCGCTCGTTTTTCTCTTCCAAGACTTTTTTGTCGATCCTATTTAATTAACATTCATTTTAATTCGTGTATTTTTTTGAACGCGTGAAAATATGATCAAGTACGAGGCTTATTTATGCGAGATAAATTTCCTTTCCTGAAATTTAAGGAAGAGAAGTACAGCTTTTTTTCCCTCTTTTTCATTCATTTTCGGTCGATTTCGATTCGATTTCCGGATGGCACCGTCACAGGCTCACTGACCCGGGGCCATTGTCTTCTCGCTCGAATGCAGGGCGAACGGGCCGTGCCAAGCGACGGGGGAGAGGTGCTTTCCCCCGTAGCCTTCGCCGAGCGCACGAGGGGGCCACACGACTCTCCGCGGGTAAATGAAAATCAATAGTTTTCTTCCGTAGGCCGATGCACCTGTTCCCGCGGAAAGTACAGGCGCGCACGGACACACGTACACGGACGTGCAGCGATACGCACACGAATGCGGGGGGTCGCAGACCCAGTTTCACTTTGTTCCGTCGGGGTTGCCGTGCATGCCCCCGAAACGTCCTTAATCTCGAGTCAATTTGTCAGCGCTATCTTTTCGCCGATTGCGCGAAAGAGGGAGAGAGAGAGAGAGAGAGAAAGAAAGAAAGAGCGAAGCGCGCCGAGTATCGTAATTTGCATGCGTCCTCGGGATCGGCCCGTTGCCAAAAATGAGACGAAACTTCGCAGAGGGATGATTAAGTTATTTGACTCCTCGAATACGCGCGCAGTTTGGCCGCGGATGCCTCTTTGTGTAAGATTGATCGATGTTACTCGATCGTCGTGAATTATTCGGAAGACAACATCGTTCCCACGATGTTTCGCGATGTAATTGCGGATTGTATGTCGAGCGGCTTAGTTCCCCGAGGATTCATCTTGCTTCGCGATTTATAGACCGAATTATTCGAGCATCGATTAATCGGTTTTGTTTGCGAAATTATTTTTTCGATCATCTTACATGCGGATGACTTTCGGAGACAACGACGGGACGCGAAAGAGAATATTTTCATTTCTGGATCAATTCGGATTTTGAGTAATCGAGGTCGTTCTCCGATGCACGAAGTCACGTAACGCACGGTGATCCCCTTATTTGCGTATTCCGCCCGTTTCTCTAACGAGTACCGGAACATCGATTTTGATCGCGCTCGTATAAACGAAGATAGATGTTCCGTCTTATTTAATTAACATATGAGATACCTGCGGAATGATGAGGAGGATATTTTGCTTTAGTTTGACGACACGATTTATTTGGAGAAAATTACATAATTAATAATAATTGGAAATTAGAAAAGTGACACGCTAAAGCAAATTGTATAATCAAATTGGAGGCGATGTTTCCGAGAATAAACAGAGGGTTGAGAAATTGAAAATTAGCCTATACAAAAAAGTCTGATTGCTATTCGTATATATTCGTATATACTACATCGCGGCACTTTCTATCGATTTAGGTTACCGCCGAGGCGAATGCGATTTCAATCGAGCTTCTCTTCATTCGAGATAAAAATAGTAGAAAAGAGAATGTGTTTTTATTACATTAAAAATAAAAAAAATACAAAACGCCGCTTCTTTTTTCGCTTCCGATATGCGAAGCGTATTTGACACCTACGAGTGTAAATGCAATTTTTATAGATCCTTTCTGTGAGAGGGAATCTCGCGCAATCTCGCAAACGCTTATTTTATTATTTACGAAGCTCTTTCGCCCACGAAACGCGCTTTCCATGGGAATTTGCACCTCGTTACAGGCTACAAGAGCGTATATTTCATCGATCGTGTTCGGTCTACAAGTAATATAAATCGCGCATTCGAGCCGTATCTACCTTAGCACTGTTGTGAGAATATAAACCGGCGGAAAAGAAAGTACAGGAGACAATCGAGATGCGGAGAAATCATCTCGCGAGCAGCGCGACGCTGTCAATCGCATCGTCCTTCAGTCTCGACGATTAACTTGCAAATTGTCTGCCGACTGATGGCTGCCATTCGCGCTTATTATGCACAAAGCTGAAACTTATACAGTGTACGTGACTTATTTGCCCGTCGTAATTGTCAATTCTATAACGAAGAGCCTTTTCTCTTCTACATTAAATATAATTTAATGTAAATATATATTTAAATTTAATTATATTTAAATTAATATACTTCCAAAGATGTATGTAAAATATTAGAATATAGTTGCACATATCTTTCGAAACATCGAATATCGATAAGATAATTATTCGCGTGAATCTTTATTGGAAAAAAAGATCGAAGTTTTTGATTCGTCAAACGTGAATATTGTAAGAAGAAAAATTCCTTGCTATTAAATATTGCAACGCATTAAGGTGTAAATAATGTAACGATTCCACAATAGACATCATTAAATATCACGCGTAGGATAATGACGAAGCGTGACATTATTCTGTTGTTAAATGACCATCATCTTTCATACGTAACATAATATTATACGTAACATAATATTATACATAACATAATATTACGTTTCTGATTGATGGCCTCAAGATATATTTATAGCATTAATAATGCATGAATAGAAAAAAAAACGTGCACCTGCAGAAAATGTATTAATCTTCTCGATTGATTGGAAAGCATTATAAAATCAGAAGGAGGAGGAAAGCATTATAAAGTCAGAAGGAGGAGGTCTCAAGAAGGAGAGAGAAAGAAAAATTTTTATTAACTATATTTTTAGTAAATACCGGTTTTTCAGCCTTTACGTTTTTTGAGACTCATTGAATAGCGGCGCAAGGTTGAACGAACTTTTAAACGAACGTTCTCACTATTTGCTTTGCTGCGAGACCAAAGTAACGACATTTAAATTGTCATGTGTACCGATAATATTGTTCGTCGAAATTACTCAAAACGACGCAAAAAATGGACATTCAGGTATAGAGGTTACTTAAACTGCACGTAGACACTCTTGGCAATAATAAATGATAAATCGGAGATAAATCAGAAATAAATCAACTATCTCTGATTTATCTCTATCGTATTTTCGAACCGGTTGCAATCCGCTGATAATTGTCACCGATTAGCCGATAGGAAAATAAATATCGAACATGAGCTTCGTTATCGAATGTGCTGCTTTTCAAACCGGTTAAGCGGCTACCGTGAGCGCGTTTTATTGCTACTACATCTATCCTTCAATGGAGATTCACGTGACGCCGATCTCAATGTCGTCGATGGATTTATTATGCTCTTACATTTTATGGATGACTGATTCGTTTCATTCCGCAAAGTCTCAATTTTATAGCCGATTATGCAAATATCACTATTCCACGTTTATTGAAATACGATGGGTATTAAAATCAAGGATGTGATCTTGAAAATCTCTATAATGTCTCGCTATATAATTTTATTATATTGTCGGAGAAATTAATAATAAAATTTTTAAAATTAATAATAATTTTTTAAATATCTGTCCTTTATATTCTTGATCTCGTAACGTCCAGATATAAATGACTTCAAATCATAATCTCTTTTTCTCTCGAAATACAATTTTACTTATTGATATATTTATTTATTCTCATGCTATATGTGAAAAGGGCGATTACATAAATAAAATTAAACACGCATATAATAGAAACGCAAAAACTATAAAAAGCTATGTCGAACGGATATATGATGAAGATATAATTATTTAATTTCGCGTAATTTCAGTCTTGTGGCAATCAATTGATCACAAGTCTGTATTATTCGGTAGAAAAGAAGAAAGATGAATCCTGCACGCATGAGTGCGTTTAGGATGCGTGATGCACGTTATGTCATCTCGGAATTGTCACATGAGATCTAGTGAAAATTGACGATGATTACAGAGAAATATTACAGAGAAATTATCAAGTTGTCTCTTACGTCTTGACGCAAATCGATGTCTGTTTAATTCGCGCGACGCAATTTTCTCATGGCCGTTCCTACCTTTCGTACGCTTGAATCTCTTCGATATCTAATTATATCGCAAATAATCGTTGAAATCATGCGGTTCCCGATAAAGAGAAATTAATATGGCGATACATTACATATGCTGATAACGAAAATGTGAGATTACTAGAGATAATATACTTGATTAGCTCTTTCGCGTCTGTTAAATTGATATTTAACCAGATATTCGCAAACGTGTTCTTTTTCTGAACTCTAATTGAAATTGCACATATAACATTCGTTGAAAAGATAATAAATTATATAAGTTTAACATATAATCCTTCATAGCTTTCGTAGGTTATCTCTAAGTCATTTATCGCTTTGCTAATAACATCGTAAAACCAGGAAATGTTATTGCTTCTGCAAATATTATTCTCATATTTTCGTGCGAACAAATAAGTGGAGGACAAAACTCTACAGAGATCGAAGGTGATAAACGTGTAAACCAGGATTTTCATAAAAGCGAATTTTTATCAATTATCAACACGTGATAGTATATCGTGAAAAAGAGTGTCTTTGCTAACGTCGAGTCTTTTTAATTTATTTATAGCGAAAACTCATATCACAGAATTATTCTGCAATATTATCTTGTCGCGAACGTGCCGTGTTTCATTCTCAGTGAGAGATTCGTATTTGCAAGTCAAACATAAGAAACGAATAATCAGTCGTCTATCTTGATTCGCTGATTATTATCTTACATTTGCCGGAATCCTTATCGATCCCGACACTCTTCATCTGTCGCTTACGTAATAGATTTTACGCTATAATTGACTCGATTTTTCTCCTCTCTTTCGCAGGACCCAGCACGTGGGTAACGAAGTTCCCCATGGCTGCCGGCTCCAGGCAAAGCCCGGTCAACATCGAGACGAAACGGGCGGAATCCGATCACGAAGCTCTAAGCAGCAAGCCATTGCGTTGGAAGTATCCGGCTACAGCTTCCCGAAAGCTGGTTAATCCCGGTTATTGTTGGCGAGTGGATACTGCGGGCGAAGGCACATGTGAGTATTTTAGATACCCTTCTCCCTTCTTTCCTTCTCTATTCGTTCTTTTTAGATACCTTAAGAGAGTTGACGCAAAACCTTTTCAGACTCCCTTTTTTTTTTCTTATTGAAATAAATTTATCACGGATTTTTTCGAGCAAAAAACCACCATGGTATGAATGATGCATCTCGCTCCAGATTTCGTTATATTTAAAGACCACCAATGACTAAAATCAATGACGGAAGTGTTCTCGTTTCCGCGATCGCAATCGAAGCTCGGAATCGCAGATGAAATTACATGGATAAAAATGCGATGTATTGCGAAATCGGTGCAGAGCGCATTCATCTAGAAATCACACGGCGATCCAGTATAATTTTAGATGATTGTTTACGATATCTGGCCTTGCGTTCCATCTTCGCATTTATAAACATTAATGCGCTGGCAGCGATGCCGAACGGGATTTAGCTTAGTCGGGACAATCTGCGTGAGAGAAGCGTGTTTTCTTTCTCTCGACACAACACACAAACGATTTACGTAAGGAAATGCTTTTTATTAATTTCGTGCATCATGCATGAGCCTTACGTAAGAAACGGAACAGGGTTTCACGGCACGATTCGTTTGCAAGACTCCCTCTGCGACTATTTGCAAAAACGCAGATGCAGGTGCAGAATCGGCATATCATTACACGCGAGGTACACGCAGCCGCAAATCAACCGCACGCGACAAGATGAACTAAAGGCCCGTCTATTCGCGGGACGCAAACGCAGAGGAATGACGTGTGTCATCGCACGCAGATACAAATCAACCGCACGCAACGAGCTGCGACGACTCATCATTCATGATGGTCATCCCACACTTCTCCTTTGTCTTTTTATAATCTCACAAGTCGGACCTTGCATTCAATATAGACAAAACAGCCTTGCGTTATTCTCTATGAAATTTCTCGCGAATAAACTGGTCTTTACGTATTTTGAAAATATGATGAGAGAGAATATATCGCTCGCATAAATAACGGTCGTAAAATGCGACGCGTGTACAGATGAATGTATATTCTACTTCGTCGTCGTTTATATCGTTTTAACGAAGGCTCCTCACTGTCGACTTCGTGCCACTTAGAGAGGGCTTTTACCTTCGCCGAGTGCTCGGGGCGTAGTCGAAATGAGGACGACCGTGCGCCGTGGCGTATTATGTGTATTCATATGTGGCACGAAGTGGCGCGGCGCTCTATAAGGCAATATGTGACACCGAACAATCGGTTGATAGAACGCCGATAGCGGAGTTACGACTTCGGCCAAGAATTCTCATTATCTTCCGCAGGCGAAGAGGAATTTGATTCATGAGGAAATTATCGCTGTCCGTTGTTGCATTCGATAGAAAAGAGGAATGATCGATAAAAAACGGGGTTTCTGTTACGTAAAATAAGTCCTGTCTCTTTTATTTCTCTATTTTTTAAAATTATCGCTGTCTTTTCTGCCGCACATTGCGAATAATTTTAGATTTCTCTACTGGGTTCGCGAAGAATTCTGCGGCTTTTAAAACTTGGCGTGACAAATTTTCCGCGAACAATTTATCACAGTCGAGGCGCGACAAAATGCGTCGCAGCGCGTCTGGTTCGCGCGATTCACCGGCGCAAATGAATGATACCGGCAACGATACATAGCATAACGATCCTCGTTATAGCCCCCGTGCAACCCACGTAGTTTGGCTGATCAAGCATATCCTGTAATAGAGCGTATGTATCTGTAAACGAAAATCCACACGGCCGTTTATTGGAGCTTCGCTGTAAAAGCTTGCTCCGAAAACTTCCACTTCCATTTCCTTTTACTTGGGGATTTAATTTATAAAAATCCTCTTCTTATTTATTCTTATTTTTTTTTATAACCGATATAAGAAATCTCTCAATTTTTATTGTCGACAGTTTTGAGCGGTGGACCGTTGATGGATGATGTCTACAAACTGGAGCAGTATCACTGTCACTGGGGATGTAGCGATTCCAGGGGATCGGAACATACGGTGGATGGACAAGCTTTCGCCGGAGAGGTAAAGCACAATGAATCTTTTACGAGCGTTAAAACTTTTGACATGTGATCAGACTGTCGTTAACTTTGCTCTTTCGACAAATAAATTTGTCGAAGAACAGCGAAGAATATTAATTTTTTTCTCGCTTTTACATTACTTCATACTTAATAACGTATGTCAAGCTCATTTGTAATCCAGCCACTTTGAGAGTATGATTCACTGTTTGCGATTATTCGTAGCTCGCTATGGCAGCATCGACCTTGTTCGCCATGTGCGATTATTTTCCCGAAGACACATACAAGCTCGTTCAAAGTTTTACACCGATGACTTATAAATGTATAAGTGATGAAATAGATAATTTTTTAATGGGAATAAAAATTTTACTCACTCTGAATATTATATAATACGGCCTATAAAGACGCTAATTAGAGATGTGTTATGTGACTGTAATGGTATAAAGCATCATTTGTCACATAAATAAAACGCTATTATCTCGTCCACACATCGCGTTAATAAATACGCCAACGTGTTAAAGGTCTTTATACATATGTTCTGGCAGTTGTGTGGGCTGAAAGCTGCATCGGGTTACAATGCGAAGAAACGAAACAAACGCGCTCGGAATGGAAACAATAATTGGCGTTATCATTGAAACTATCAGACTGCGTCGTTGAATAGGATAACGAGACCAGCACGTCCATCCTGGCCCGGGCATCGAGAGAACTCTCGTAGGCGAACAAACGCCCGATCGCGAAAAAGGATGCCAATAATTAACCGAGAACAATCGCGTATTTCCTGAAACACATATTTCCGACACGATCCCAGAATGGACTTTATCTTCATCGCGGGAATTTTTTCGAAAGCTCATACACTATATATAAGCTATATATACTTACCATACATTTGTATACTTGATAAATAGATTATGCAATCATCTACGTAACGGTGTGTTTGCAATCTTTCATAAATAGTTGACTTCAACTATTGACCCTGTTTGCGATAGAGAAAATATCGAGACTCGCATAATGCATGGAAAGTTTCCTCGTCACACATGACAGATTCAACGAGCGAAGAAGACACTTTTGAGATTCCTTTCCTGTAGTGATTGTAAATTTCCTTGAGCGACCGCGCGATTTAATACATTGACGACTTTGAAGTTTGATGTTAATTAAACGACTCGAATTTAAACGCATTAGCAAGTCAATTGGCGATTGCAATGCGCTCGCATTCGATTGCTACGCACGTCCGTCTTCGATGCACTTAGAACGGATGCACAGAACGAATACATTCTTTCCTGTCCTGGACATACGCACATGACGTTCGCTTTATCGAAAAAAAATTCTAGGCGACGATATCTCTCCTGACGATCACGGGAAACCGGGTCGGTCGGATATCCGTGGAATTTCAACGTCCAGAGCCGATTACGTAATTCCTCTAACGACCATCCCTCGAACGCAATTATCATTTATTGATACCGATAAAGTTCTTTGTTGTACTATCATTCGATGAAATGTGGAATAATTAAAGTTGAAAGGGAATACTGGGTAATTTAAGCGAGACAATTTATCACTAATAATCATCAGTGCTCTCTTTGTTAACATAAAAACATATAAAATGACATTTCGTAATTGATTGTTTGAAGAGACGATTAGACACTCGTGGTAGACCTGTCCTTTCGCTCCTCCCAGTTGATTGCTCTCTATTAAATTTAATACGCGTAATTTAGATTCATTAAAAGACGCCGTTTGTTTCAGCTGCATCTGGTGCACTGGAACACCAGCAAGTACAAGACTTTCGGCGAAGCTGCGAAAGCTTCCGATGGTTTGGCAGTCCTGGGAGTCTTCCTTAAGGTTGGTGATGCGATATAATAGTTTCAATAATTGCGAGCAAATTGGAAAAATTTTCTTCAAAAGATGAGAGTAATCACTCTATTTTATTTATATTACACATAAAGAGTATTAATTTATATATCTCAGACACTTGGTTTTTGGCTTACATCGAATTTTTGTACAAGCGTGTTCGGATGCAAATGATACGCGCGGAAGCCGTACCTTATTTTAAAAGGGATTCTAATTCGTTTACATGTCGCCAGGTCATGTATTTATAGTTACTTAAGCTTTCATACAAGACAAGCGAACCGCACAAATAGAATCCATATGCGTGTGTTGGAAGTATTATCACCGATCGCCGTCGAATGGTCGATTATGTAAACACGCGAGACACGTCCGGGGACATAATTATATGGTCGTCGTATATCGAGCACGAGATACGTATACCTTTTTGTCAACTACAAGACCAGTTGTCGTTTACGACAGAAAGAACATTTTCCGATAGGCTCTTCCGCTTTACTTTATGCTCAACATTTGGATTGCGACTCGCGGTATCCGGTGGAAAGAAATCGCGACGTGCTCGCGGTGATTAAGAAATGAATTTTTTGAATAAATAATATTTCTTAATTAAAATCGAGAAAATAGACGCGTAAACTTGAAGACACAAAAACTCGTCGAGCTTTCCGCTTCTCACGAGGTACCGCGATTATCTCTTACGTAACGTTGCACTGCAGTTTCGTGATACGTTAAGGTCGCGCGTGAGGAACGTATGTATCGTAAGGAAATTTATGCGCCACGTGCAACGGCGACGTGTCAGACAATTCGAAAAATGTCGTTGCGCAATTGATAATCAACGTCGGCTCGATGTCGAGCATTTTTACAGTTCCTGCTATTTATGCTACTCGAAATGTCTGACAATTTTCCAAACGTTATCTACTTTGCCGCTTAAAAGTATCCAGGATCCAGATAAGGGAACTTTTAAGTTCGAGATAATTTTTAAACCTCTTGTGATGAGTCACGTATGAGGATACGGATAAATAAGTTTACGGAACGCGTAGTTTTGAGACGCCTTGTACATATAATTATTTTGCTGATGACGTTGATTGAAGATGACCTATCATTTCAGCGAGACCGTTATTCGTTTCTTTTTGTGAAACTTGGTCATTTGTCAAAATATCTCTAATTTTTTTTTGCTCGTAGGTCGGCAAGACTCATGAAGAAATGGACAAGATTGCGCGTTTGTTGCCGTACGTCTCGCACAAGGACGAGGTCGTAGAAATTACGGAACCTATTGACCCTGGTAAACTCCTTCCCGGTAAGTCAACATCGCACGATGCAATTTGGTGAATTGCCTCTTTGATAAGATATTCCGTTTATTCGTGATACATAGTGCCCGTGATCCATGTCCTTGTTGTTTCTCTTGTAATATTCAATCGTATCGGTAGTTGGAACTTGTTTGCGAATGTCGATCCGATAATAGGTGTAATAGTCCCGATCTATGTTAATTAATTAATTCGGAGCAAAAAAGATACGAAATTGAGTTGAAATAGTTTCGATTTATTTAATTTTTAATTGACTCGTATTCTTGATATACATTTTAATAATTGATTTAGAACATTATTTTCTTAAATCAATCAATAAAAATGTCAAAGATTTTAATCAAAGATTTTATTAAAGATAATTAGTATTTAAATTCAAAATTGTATGCATATTATTTTTTTACTTTTAAATATGATCTTTAATCTACAAAAAGTGAACAAGTATGACTCTTGCTAAAAAATAAAAATATTTATTTAATAAAAAAAAATTACGTTCTGAGAGTTTATCATATAATATTATACACGTAATATATGTAAAATACATTTTAAAATATTATTGATTGAGAATCATTACTATTAACTAATTTTTTCAGCGAGATTTCATTGTTTGTTTTATGAATGATTGAAATCACTGCTTGTGATAAACACTGAATCCATTTAAGAAAATAACATTGTTAAATAATAACAAAGCATTCCTTCCTCAAATCTATACGCGCCTTGTCACGGGAGCAATTATCATTTCACTTTAAATGACATTCGCCACGTGTGCCTCCGCATTAACGTTACTAATGAGGTTTTTCCCGCATTTACGCGTTCGTGTCACGCAGTGCGTGGTGGACGGGCTGGCACGCAGAGATGCGTGAACCCGTGCATGCGCTGGGCCGACCGAATCATACCACGCCACGAGAATAAATGGGATTTCCAAGGTTTGTATCGCCTTGGAGATAAAAAGAGAGAGAGAGAGAGAGAGAGAGAGAAAGAGATGCTGCGCGCTTCTTCTCGCTTCTTTGCAGCATCGCCTCTCGAAGAAGCTTTACGGTTATTTTTAAGCAGCTGATTTCCTGAAGCCCTGCATGTCACACCACAGTCGAAGGAGAGATGGCATGTTGGGATTCATAGTGATCGATATTTCTTTTTCACGCTCCGAGATAAAGAGACATATTTATCATTTGAAGATGCAGCGTTTCTTGCAAAGCATATTTCTTTATGGATTTTTGCCAAGGATTTATTAAAATTTTTCAACTTTTGTGCGATAAGATATATACATGTGTTTGTCTGTACTGAATAGCACTTATATACGTTAGTCCTCGCAATTTAATCTTGATCAAAGCGCACGATCCTTTATATTTCATAAGTGACACAATATTATATTTTTTTTGCACGTTTTATATTTCAAGTATCTTCATACGTGTAGATCTTTATCTCCAAATATTACCACCTAATATCCTCGTTACTTAGTGATATTAGTGTTATTTATCAATATTATTTCGAAGAAATATTTTTTGAATGACACCGATGACATCGAAAGATAAGAGACGATGGAGTATTCGTACTTATACAAAAAATATTGCTATGCCAGAGAATAATACATTAATCAAATTGTATAATTCTACTCTCGACATAGTTTCTTCCCTTATTAAACTTTAATTCACACGAGATATGTGGCAGAAATATTTCCGTAACTTGAAACAATATTAAAATGAGAGAATCAAACTCGAGATATATATTTCTAAATTAAATTCAATGATTATTTCGAAATTAATTTCGCTACAATAAAAGGTGCATAAATCTAGAATCTTACAATGATTTCTGTCGCGCTAAAATTTTATCAAATGACATATTGTTATTGATATGAGCAATCATCTGGACATCATTTCTTCATCGCATTGCTTTAATCGTCAGCTTAAAAATTGGTCGCTTTAATTTGTCGCACGATTGCGAGAAATTATCTTAAATTTTCTTTTCTTTTCTGGTTTAGATGATAACGGCTACTGGACGTACTTGGGCTCGCTGACGACGCCGCCATGCAACGAGAGCGTCACTTGGATCCTCTTCAAAAAGTATATCGAGGTGTCCCACCATCAGTTGAACATTTTCCGCAATCTGCGAAAGTTTCCACGTGGCGAGGAGTGCCCGTGCCACGAGAATCACGGAGCGGTAAGCTTCGGCGCTTCTTTTAATATATTTATTCCTTGAATCATAACTTTTCCCATTCATCCTTCATCGAGACTTTGCACGCAAGTGCAACGATCGGACATCTTTTCCTTATTTAACAAGAATTGCAACGATTCCTCGTATCGCTTTCCATACGTCCTCCCGTGCTTCCTCTCCTCGTTTGATAAATGAACGGCGATGAATGGCGATGAACGTGACGACGAACGCCTCTGCGGCGCCGCGATTACCATTTTCCAGCCGCGCGATACATATCTTGTTTTTCTCCCTTCTCCTTTTTCTTCGGCCGATATACATGAAAGTACCGAGTGGAGCTGTATGATGCTCGGCTATTTTTAGGCGTCCGCAGGACGTCGACGACCGCGACTGCGACGTCGTCTCGGCGACGGAACGGGAATACATTTCGAAGACACGACACACCTTCGTTTTTAATATCGATCTTTTTCTTGTCTGTCCCTCGTTACAGGTGATCAACAACTTTCGCCCACCGATGCCGTTGGGAAATCGCGTCTTGCGGGAATGCGGTAGCTTCTAAGCTTTTGTCTCTCCTCGCCCGGGAAATGAAAATGAACGAGAAAAAGAGAGGGCAGGGATAATCGTCAGGCTCTCCTCTTGGTTCTTGCGGATCATCGACCCCGAAGCGACGACTAATACAGTCGCTATCGAACGACAGCGTTCAACGTGCCTTTGGATTAATCAACGATTACACTCGCGTTACTTTACGCGAGATCCTGGCCTTCGTTGTTTCCTCGTAATTAAGTTTGCATCGCACGCGTAATCAATTCACTTGCGTTGAGAGACGGACTTTCGCAGCGAGAAGAAAATTCCTGTTACTCTACGAAAACGAATTAAAAATATTTGATAGTTTTAGCTCTCCTAACTCGACGTATTCTACATTTTTATTATTATTTGACATAATTATGCGATAAGTTGTAAATCGTAGAATGGGCTTGCATCATTATTAAATGTATTTCGGAACTATCGCATCTTTGTGCAGTATAAAACAAGCGCTGTTTACACGAAAATCGTATCACATATTTCTTTAAAAAAATATCATCGGTGTTCATCGATATTTTAAAAGACATTTTATTAGGTAGTTAGAAGATATCTTGCTAGAAGATATCTATATTAATTTTAAATTACAAATTCATTACAATTTCTTAATCGAATATGTTTTGATAAAGATACGAGATATTAACAGGAATGTAACTTAAAAAAAGATACATTCATTACTTCAGTAGATGCATTAACAGGTAATTAATGATCGTATTTTTGTCGTCGATTAAACTAGCTGAAATAAAATGTATAATTTTAATTGTTATTTATTGAAAAACTCTTTAGATAAAAAAATTCTTTCGATCAAAAGAGATCTTTTTTTTTCGACAAAAAGCAATTATCTTAAACCGCTCAAGTATCGTGAGTCTTTGGGGAGCGGTCATGATCAGGGACATCGTGTATAGTAGCTATCAAGTGTGTAAAACAATTTAATTTTAATTCAAGTGCAATTACGAGTGAAACGTAGAATAACAAGCGTCTGCTTTTCGCGCCTTGGGAATGTAGCTTTCTCGCTAATTAGAAACTACAATCCGCTTGTGCAATACTTGCGCGGCTACGAAAGGGGCGAGAAATGTGCCTACGCGTATGTATGTAGATATGCATTATTTCGCGATAGAGAATAAGACGAGATATAAATAATATTATGCGATGCAACAGTCATTATATCGCTATACACATTAGACTAATGTACAAAAATGGCAAGATGTAATTTTTAGATGTATACTCGCGATAAAATCAAATTCTGTTCGATCTCGATCCGTCCTCGGAGGCAGTCATCGACCAGATTCGCTTCCGCAAACCGACGCAACGTATAATGATGTATTGGGTATAATGATCTACCTTGAGTATGGATGCTATACGTTATATACATGTGATTTTTAAGAAATATCTGTCGTTCCATAACGGCATATTTATTATGAAGCAACGCGTACGATTGTTGACGCGCGAGAAATGTAAGACCCGAAAAAATCGTACGGCTCTTCATTCACAACTGTGCTCGTGTATATAGAATTTACGAGAGTAAATCCAACATAATTGCATTGCACAAGGTTTATTGCACTTGCATCACTGTGATGCAACAAGTGAGATGCTGATGTCGCTGTCACAGCGGCTTTTATCGCGAATGCGTCTTTAAGGTGTGTAGCAACAGGTGACAATTGATATGCAGCACAAATATCGAAGAGATGAGATAATTTTTCAAAGCTCGCTCTTTCAGAAAGAACGACAGAAGAAAAAATATATATATACAATATTTATATGTATATTAATTCTCTTAAAGAAATTTCTTCAATCTCTGCAATTATGATTTTTCGATTAACGCGAGAAAAATAATTTGACGGATTGAAAAAATTGGAATGGAAAATTGGATAATTTGACGGATTGAAAAAAAATTGGAAAAAATTCGGATTAATAAAATAATTGTGAGTGATTACAACTCTCGAGCGTCAACAATAGTTTTTAAAATAAATGCTATATATACTTATTTAGATATATTTTGTGTCATACACTGATGAATTTTACGCATGTGCTGTTTTGTGCAACGTATGTTAAATACATTATTATTATGCTGACTACTTTATCGTATGTATTCTCAGGAATCGCTGTTTATATGTATTTCTATAAAATATATAAACATTTTCTTTTACCATCGCGTCCTTCGATTTTGGCTCATTTGCTAAACGCATATACGCCAATATTAAAATTATTGTTGGCGATGTAAAATATATATGTATTTCGTAGCTTCGACTGTGATAGAAGGAGCAAATAAAGATCGTTTCGTTTGTTCTTTTACGGCAATATTTGACGCCACATTATTTCGCGAATATCTAGCATATAAAAACACAAGATATAACTCTGCAAACATTGTGCACTTCTACTACGAGTTATACTTGGTATCGCATGAAAGGATACAAGGCTAACAACCGCTAATGCTCGTACCTGACTTTGATGTTCACCGTCGGTTGGGACCAGTTTCAGGGACGCGAGAAGGAAAACCAGTGTACGAGAGAAGGCATGACACGACGATACGTGGAATGACCGAGAAGAGGCCTTCCTTGATACGCCCCCAAGCTATATCTTGCATCAACGGCGCTGAAATGATACAATCGTGCACATGCGAATAAAAATACATAAGAGACCGATTGAAAAATGAAATTCTTACAAAATGAATTTCGTGCAGCGTTGTTTTTTTCAGCACGATTTCAAAACCTTAAGAAACGTTAATGCGTTTATTTCAATTATCTAGTTCCCTGTTAAATATCTTTTTTCCTGATATTAAATTTGCGAATCTTTTTAATTGTCATTCGCGAGCCTCGTCTCAAAAGATCGCGTCAGGATCTCGAGTTATGGAGTTGTGTTGGCTCGTGAAGAGAAAACTGTCTCCTCAGAACCGGTCAGTGCACGTGCATCGCATCTGACGATACATGTGCATCGTTGAGATTACTGCACTCCCTCTGAGACCGAATATATTTAGACTCGTTGCATTAGGCTAGAATAATATTTTGGATGATAGTGTAAATAATAAAGTTTTTGTTTTTATATAATTATATATAATGAATATCAATATAATTAGTAATAAATTCATTATATAATATTATATAACGAATTTATTATTAATTATATTGATATTCATATTCTTTGCTATAATACCGATTATATTTAAGAATAAATTTCTATTAAAATTAATTAAAAATAATATAAGATACGAGGGAGAAGCCTAAAATTTACAGTAGAATTAATGCTCCAGCAAGTTGCTAATATAGTTGCCAACGCGTTTGAAAGTGTTAGTATTGTCAATTTTCTATGCCGCTTGCATCCTCTGTCATTCCGTTTGTCATATTTAAATGCCACATTGTGCGTAGATTGCCGGGACGAGGCTGGAAAGCAATTGACGTCAATTGTCAACTGTTAGAAGCGTAATAAAAGTGTTTAACAGCTTACAATTAGTTAATAGAAGCGAACATTTTTTTACAATACAGAGAAAGAGAGAGATGGATAGTATGTTATTTTTCTGTAATTTGTAATTATATGTATATTTAGACTTACTGCTGTAAAATATATCTGCTAACACAATATGCTACTTTTCTTTTGTGTAAAATATATTTTATGCATAGAATAAATTATCTTTAACTTTTTGCACTGATTACATAATTAATGCCACATCGCTAATGTTAGCAGGTGCAACGTTGAAAATATTTTTAATTAATTCGTAAACTCGGTTATATATGTAGACTGTCTCTACATGATAAATAAAAAATTAATAGATTGATCACGCATATAAAATATATAGAAATTAAAAAATCCCTTGCCACGATAAATATGTATATATTTTTTATTTAATTCGATTCTGAATTTCGTATCGTCGACTATGAATTTCTCACATGTTTACAGAAATCCACTTTATGGAACATCGATACGACAATTTGTCAGAATCAATTGTTGATAACTGATGATTATCAATTACCAATAACTGGTAATTACAGCTATCATCAAGAGATAATTTATCATAATTTGTATTATTGACTGTCAGTAAAGAATTAAGACGATCATAAAAAATACACATTTATTAATATATTTATTAATTAATAATTAATTAGTAAATATATAAAAATATTTATCATATATTGTAACATGTTTATTTTTGTGCTGCATGTAATTTACAATTGAATCTACAATATATGTTTCGAAGAATTCATTGCTGAATCATTCGGAGAATCATCATTACGCGGAAATTTAATTTTCATACGAATCGAGCTCATCCTAATGGAAGTTTATTATTTCATAGTTATTACTACATGTATTGTCATAACTTGTAGACCGTTACTCAAATATAACGGAAATAGTTCAATTAGTCGATAAGGACTACTAGCTCATTCGAATGAAATCATCATCTAAGAATGATAATGATTGCATGCATGCATTTGTTGTTTGTTTAACGCGATGCATAAGCACTTATAATAATTTGCAACCGCTATCGGTACCATTTAAAAAATGAATTGCAATGTTTCCCTTTCTTTTTCTCTCTCTTTCTTTCTCACGCATGAATTACGAATTGCACAATACTAATAGCGAGTAAACATTTATCACGCAAGCGCAATGCGCCTATAAAAATGCCTATTACGATCGGGAAGCGAGCGGGAGATAATATTAAAACATGAGATTAATTCATATCAATGATTCACAGATCCATCATCGCGATGACAACTTATACATTCACAGGCCTGGCGATCTTGCTTGTTTACGTCACAATAAATCGGATCTATGGAGATCTATCTTTCTGGGATACAGAGTATTGGAATTCGATACATGTATCTAGTCGGCAAGAGAGAGAGAGAGAGAGGAGGAGGATCTGCGTGACTCATCCCACTCGTTAATTATCATTCGCATATACACGTCGTACCTGCGCGCATCGCGCATGCGCCGCGCTGCCGGTTGCAGTCACCAAGACGTCAAAAATTCCGCGCCGCGTCGCAGTACGAATTCCGCCGTCCTAGTGTGCACGTCGGTGTGTTTCATCTCGTATAATCGGACAACTTTACCACTAAAAGAGCGACATGGCAGTCTGTAAGTTATAATATTTTTCTCGTATTTTTGACGTCCGAAATGTTCTATCTGATATTTTTATTTAGTTTCTCGAATCTATATAATTGTAATATAACTTGTTTTGCATAATTCTTGTTGCTAACCTATACCTTATGAAATCTATTGCATTATTCATCGCCGTATCGCGACTTTTTCGGAGTAGAATGACAATGATGACCATGATTGCCCGATTTAAATTGATGCATAACGTACGACGCATTACGTAACGTTGTATCCGCAGAATTAAAGATTTTAATGTAATACATCTAAGATAATATTTAATATAATGTATCTAATTGTAAGGTAATATTTCGTCAATCTTTATTTATTTGTATTCGTTGATTAATTTTATTCTGAACGGATTTAAGAGTCTTCTTTTGCCTCGCGAATTTATTTCCGCGCGTCGAGCTTTATTCCATTTTACGGCGATCGGATTGGAGGGAATCGGGTTTCTAGGCGAAAGAAATAGTACTTTTCTTCTTAAGAGCCATATGCCGTTTCTTTTCTAAGGTCTTTCTAAATATAGAGCTGGGGCGCGGCTGTGCCGGTTTGACAAGCCGGCCGGCGTTTCGATCTTTTATGCGATCCCATCGCATCCTGAATGCTCAAACGATTCTTTAGGAAAACTATTGTATGAACGTTTATATAGGATCTGACCTGAAAAAAGGTGCAGAAAAGATCGGCGCGTGGAAAATCAAGAAAAAGGTTCTGAAAAGCGACTAATATAAAAGACTTGTTGCTTCGTTTCGATTTCCAGATGTTCGGCACAAATAGAATGAAAAGAAGCAATAATAATATTTATTAAATCGCAAAACCACCAATATAAATATTTGCATAAGATGTGTATATAAATATTTATAAAATTAAGTATGAGTATATGAAATCTGAGATACATAATATGTATCTCATTGTCAGATCGCTCTAGTATCTGTTGTGCGATTTAATGAATATATATACTACGTTTGAAAACTGCTTATTCAGTTTCAGAGTTTACATGTGGTATTAATGTGAGAAATTTCGCAATTATCACGGCATAGTGAATGTGAGAGTAGATCTCGGATCCGATGACGAGTCCCCTCGTCGGATATAACAGCCTCAATCACGTCATAAGAATGCGATCCTTCCACGTCCACATAATCCGGAGTGATTTCCAGAGATTGCTGGCCTCGTAATAAAGTTGCCACCTCCGAGCTTCTTCATTTTATTGTCTAAAGTCGTTTCTTCCGCTCTTTGAGCGAGAAGACTAATTTACCATTCTCTCGAAAATCTTATTTTTCATTGAATCTATTTTTGATTCAAGAACGCACACACACGCACACATGTGCACACATTATTTGAGTTGCACGTTTACGACGCGGAATATTTTATATCCTCTCCATTGTTCCTGCCATCTTCGTGACACGATCGTATATCTTGTTTGGATTATTATCAGAGCGGAATCCTTGGGAGTGTTTTGCAAATATAATGCGCGTGAAAGATGGACACTTTTCCCATTCATCTTACCGTGAAATTGGAGCGTTCTATTGCACGACTCTCTAATTATATGTAACCTTTGCCTTGATCCTTTCTATCACATAAGCTTCATCAGAGATCGCACGAAGTTGAATTTATTAAAAATTTTATGGCAACTCGTCCATCATCCTTCGAAAGGCGCCTATAAATGAAACACGTTGTATTTATTATGTAACCGGCGTGAAGGAAAGACAAGTTTGTGAACACGTATTATCGCTTGAAAAACGATACTATTCGATCGCGACAGCTGAAAACAACGATATGAAAACATTTTTATAATTAAATCACATAGGAATTTCATTGCATATATCAGATATTGTTTAAATGCATCATAAATTGATTAAAATTTTATGAAAGAATTTTTAGATATAATATGAAAAAAAAACTCGATGGAAACATTCTTTGTGTTTTAGAGCAGGTGACGAATTAGTGGCGAGTAACACCTGTTGTAGGAAATTTCAGTAGTGGCAGAGGGCACGTTAAATTACGTTCTCTACCGGTCCACTACGGTAAAGCAACGACAGTTGCCATGCGAGGTCAATGGCAGCACTGATGGCGAATAATTCTACATAGTCGAGCTATCGGCCGCGATTTACCGTAGGACTAACTAGCGTGCAACTATTTAGCGTGAAGCTCAAACATTATTCCTTTTCCGACACACGCGACCGCTATATCGTTATCTGAATTCTTTCTCATTGTTCCATCACGAACGGATGTCGCGGATGAAAAAATACCAAAAATTAATCGCGCGACTCGAGCATACCGCGTGTAATTTATTTCGGACGATGTAGAAAAGAAATTCATAAAATTTTTGCTTACATTCCAAGCGTGAGCAATGATAATTGCGCAACGCGAATCGGACTCAATAGCTCTAATTTTCTCGTTGTTATGTTAATTGCGAACGAGGCACGACCCACATTTTATGAAAGCTAATCAATTTGGCGCGCGAAATTAACGCGACTCGAACCATCACGATCTTTAAACGTCGACGAAAGACATTCTTCGCGTTCGATAAAAAAAGATTTCACAAAATATTTTTATCTGTATATTTCGAAAAGCAGCAGAGAATCGGAGCAAAATATCAAAGATGTGGATTCAGGAGTCAAAATAACAGATTATCTTCGGGAGGAAAGCTTTATTAGACAAACATTAACAAATATCAGCGTCTTATCGGGCGTGTAACACTTCGAGCGAGCAAAGGACCGCGGGCGGCGATTATTCCGGATCGCGGACATCGAGTAATTGACTTCGAAATAAGAATGACATCAGAGCGTTAGACCTACTACGCTCGGCGATGACCTCGAGTTTAACATCGGCGTTACATTCCGTATAACATGTATAGGGATATCTTGTACAAGAATTATGCCAAATCACCTCGCGTTAGAATCCCTTCTTTATTTTACGAGATATATCAACGGTGAATAGTTAACTGCGATACGTAGGCAACTATTTATAATCATTACGTCTATTTTCTTACTCGCGTGTTATTCAATTTATATACGTTTCGAAGAAAAACACTACTAGAAAATAGAAAAAATAGATAAGAAATGCTAATGTTGTGCGCGACTGCTGCCTATTTCGTGTGACCTCGAGTTAATAGCATGCTATAAAATTCCCTCCCGTAAGTTTTAATGTATATAAATTATATGAAGATTAATGGAATGACTGTATTTTTGAAGATATTTTAAATTAAGATATTTTAACTTAAAATTAAAAACTGAAAAAACCCACCAATGATCATCGATTACTGTCAATTATCTTCAAAATGAGTCAGAATTATCAGTTTATTGTTACTACGAAACGTATCTCTTTAGCCCAAGAATAACCATTTGTTCAAGTTTTTGACATTTCGGAGCAGAAAATTGTGTCGCTTATTTAGGACGAAGGGCCACGTAGCTACATGTAGCTCGATCGACTCGAGAATATGTAGGTCCAGACTCTTACGCAACATTGAAATTATCGGCGACATTATATGCGAACATCTTGCTGACAAACGTAACTGACAGTAGATGACTCATCCTTGCGCGTCGAACGCATTGATAATACTCTGTTTTTACGAGCCGTATTTTAAAACATAACGACACAGAAGCTCGCACATGTAACTCGTTTGCAGCGAAAATGACCTTTATAGACCTATCATTAAAATTAAATCACGATCGAATCACTAGATGTAAGTCACGTACATTGATACTAGCGCGCAATATCGATCGAATCCTGCATCGTCCTACTTTCCTGAGTATTTGATGTAGCCGTAGGGTCGGTCTGGCGTCGGGATGTCTGGATATTCGGCATCGATACATTTTTCCGCGTCATATGGTTTCCCGAGAACGCTCATCGGTATTAATCAGAGCGCGAAGCTCGCGCTGAATTGGCTGATTCTATCGCGATTTACAGCGATTTATAAAAATGAGAGATGAATTATTCCGAACGCGATGGCATGACATAGTCTTTCAACTTTCCAGCGCTTTCCACCGAGGACAAGTTGGAGTACCATTTCTATCCCGTGACAGCTGGGCAGATCCAGTTCCGGGTGAAGGCGCCCAACGATGCTCACATCGCTCTTACCACGGGCCCCCAGGAGGGAGATCCGATGTACGAGGTGAGATGGCACAAATCTTAACTTTAAAACTTCAAAACTTTTATGACGATATTTTTATGCGATGGAAATTAAATTAAATTGTGAAAGTACTATTGAAATTCGCATTCTTTTTCTAGGTTTTTATCGGAGGATGGAGCAACACCAAGTCGGTCCTGCGCAAAAATAGAACCAAGCCTGATTTGTTGGAGGTAGAAACACCTGGCATCCTCAACGCTGACGATTATCGCGGTTTTTGGATCAGGTAATCGCACGATTGTTCTTGCATTTAAACTCGTTAAAAGGCGAGCATTCATTATTATTACTTGGGCTTAATTAACACTAATTAAATCTTGTTCCGCTCGAATCATTAGAACTTGCTGTCGCACGAATCATCATAATTCGATATTTTATATATAATTGCATATAATTGTGTATAAAGTAATATTTCTCTTACGTGATACTCTCTTAAGTAATATTTCTGTTATGCGAAACTCGCAGATGGAACGACGGGACACTTACGGTGGGCAAGGAAGGCGATTCGGATCCGTTTCTGAGCTACACCGATTCAGAACCATTCGGGATCGGTTATTTCGGCGTTTGCACCGGCTGGGGTGCCACCGGTGACTGGCTGATCGAAGGTAAAACTACCTGGGAAAAGGTTTCTTTTGTTCTCACTTTTAAGGATACGAGTTATTTTTCCAGTACTTTTTGCTCTCTTAACTCTCGATACATATTTTTCTTCTGATTCATCTTGTTTTACAGATAACGTAGACATACTACCCGCATCTACGTAGGTAGAAGTAATAAAAACACTCGTAATTTGACTACAAATCTTCTCTCTATAGGTTGCCCAAATCTTCTATATTTCCTTGTAGATTGATACTTGACATTTTGATTTTCTTTCCGGCATTCTTTCGGGTTACGGACAATCTGCTAATGCATCGCGGTTCGCACAGCCATATGCTGCGGCGGAGATCAGGGTGGTTGTACGTAATGTATTTAAAAATCAGAGAATCATGGCATAGTCGCACGTGATCGTTTCTTAGATTCTGCTTGTTCCCAAGTATGTCTGATTTCATCCTAGCACGGATCGCTCCATATCATATGTGTGATCGATGCTGGATTAAGAGCGCATGAAGAAAATTCGATGCCTCATAGAAAAACCTTATATTCAATAATTTCAAGAGAAAAAAATTAATCCAGCACATTGATACATGGCACGTTTAGTTACATAGTAGACCGTAAAGCACCGTAGACATGACTGATTTCCGTCCATATCTGATACTTGGATTTATATATTTGAGTGCTTCCTCGCTTCCACCTGCAGAAAATTACATCATTTTAAATAATGAAGAATACGTAGAAGACGAAATAACGTATGGAAATTTTTTCAATTCGAAGGAGAGCAGCATATTGAAAACAATATGATGTAAATACATGTACATAAATTTGCTGTACGATAGAATTTAATTTCCCATTCTATTTTTTCTCTCTTTTTTTCACAATTTGTTTAAATTACTCTATATTAATTACAGATTATTTGATTTGTCATATGGATAAATGTTTTCAATTTTTAATTGTCTTAACTTAATTTTTTTTTTTACATTCGATAAGGTCGCAAACCCTTGAACACCCCTAACAAGCTAGAGTACAAGTTCCATGCCGTGCGAAGCGGCTCGGTCCTGATCGACGTGAAAGCCAAGAGCAATGGACATATCGCGCTGACCGACCGGAAGGGCGAGTCGAGTCCCATGTACGAGATCATGCTTGGCGGGTGGGAAAACAAGGCGTCGGTTATTAGATATGATCGCAAACAGCCTGACAAGGTTCGACCTCGCTAATTGTCGTGTCAATTAATCGGAACGGTAAAATTGATCCAACGATTAGGACGATTTGGCGATTCCGAATTAAGCTTTTTACACACGTCTTTCGCTCTCACGTGGCAAATTTTCCGAACTCGTCCAGGTGCGCGTGGACACGCCGAATCTGCTCAGCGAGCGTGAGTACAAGAGGTTCTCGATTACGTGGCTCGAGGGCCTCGTCACGGTCAGATCGGGCGGTCAGAGCGGTGCCATCCTCATGGAATGGCGGGACCCGAATCCCATCGGCGTGAGCTACGTGGGGGTGCGCACCGGTTGGGGCGCGACCGGAGACTGGAAACTCCGTTTCGAACAATATCCCGCAGTTACCGGTCAAAAGAAACGTAATAATCTCTCTCTCTCTGGACATCTCTGTACTTTTTTCTCTTTCTCTCTTTAAATGACGATACGAGATCGGCATCAATGTCGAACAACGTTGTGTAATAATTTCGTGCGATTGATAAACGGCATTGACGCAATCTCGAGATCGTCAAGTGGATAAATCTTCTTGCTTAGCTATTTTTCTCTGTCATTTTTTGTCAGTTGTACATTTGTAGCACGTATCTGGGTTTTGATTTTTACTTATTTAATTTATTCCTTGAGCATGTATGTGTGTTTCATTAACCATGATATGGAATTTTATGGCTTATAGCTTACGCACTTGGGCAAATGCACTAATAGTTTGATTGGTTGAGAATGCACTGTTGCATTATATTGTCTTTCGATATTTTTCATCGTCCCGGTATATAATATTGAAAATTCTTTTTGCATTATTCATTAAGTATAAGGATGTGATTACAGATCCTAGTACGACGCCGTCTGCACCGTTAGAAGTCCGTGGACTCGACGTGGGAAGCACGTGCTGGTGCGACGCGTCCGGTGGAATGGTACCACCTGACGCGGTCGAGGGTGGAAACGACGACGGACCCTTGTTCGTCGGTAGGGCTCATCACGAGGGTGCTCTCATTCCCGGTAAAGTGAAGCCCAGCCATTCCGTCTGCTACGTCGCTTGGGGCGGCGAGGAGCATGGAAAGACTGATTACCAAGTGAGCATAGATCCAAAGAGACATCTAAAAAATTATAAACGAAATCAAGATTGATTATCATAAAATTGCGAATGACATAGAAATTCAAAGATTATATTTGTTTGATATAAAATGTTTATTAGGTGTATCGATTTTCGGATAGAGGATTTATGAGGAGAATTCTAGAGATTCTCCATTCTCTTAAATTGAATCAGTGAAAGGGGTTATTTAAAACATATCAAATTTAATTGAAAAAAATGAGTTTTTTTTATTGATATTCAATAAACACTCATACTTTGATTCTCCATTTTAAAGCTTACTGATTAAAGCAATAAGATTTCATTAAAAAATTAGTAATCATCATATATTTGCAAATTAAAATTTTTTTTTGGAGGGAGATAAGTCTTCACATACATATATCGTGGAATAAAACACATATAATTAATATTCAAATTTAGAATTGCATTACACTATTTTCTTAAGATGACTAAAAATGAATAAGAGATCCGAATAAAAAACTCAGATTTCTTTAATGAAATATATAATTCATTTTACATGTAATAATTATAGGACATACTTTAAAATATCACTATTAATGAGTATTGAAACATCCACAAACTGATTCTTTCAGACATTATTGACTTACAATCTTACTATGACTAAGACTATACGCGTCAGGTGACTGTTTATTGTTTTTCAGTAACACACTGATTCTATTTAAAAGAGTATATTTTCAATAGTTACATATGAATGTAATCGTATTCAAAATCAATCGTGTATTTACAAAACTGATAGTTTAAGAAAATTTTTAATTTCCAAAAAATTATTCTCATTATTCATCTTCTTTCTTTTCTAGGTCCTTTGCGGCTGCAATCCCACGTGGGTGGCAGTGAGCGGCGGTGATATCCCGCCGAACGCAATTCCGGGTGGCGAGACTGAGGATGGCGAGCCGTTGTTCGTCGGTCGCGTGCACCATGAGGGCACTCTGACCATCGGCAAGGTGCAACCCTCCCACAGCGTGTGTTACATACCTTTTGCCGGCACCGAGGTTGCTTTCCCCGAGTACGAGATCATGGTCAAGCAGTAATCGTCAAGGGAAGCTTTCTGATCACGAACGAGAATTTGATGGGAATCGTCGACTTATCAGCAGTTCTGCGGAGAGGAGACAACTTCGAAGGAGATGGCGATCTTATATTATAATTATGTTACAAAGTTCAATGAAAAAAAAAAGAAAATGCCAATAGACAGAATCAATAATTTGATTACACGAAGATAGATCTGTTTCTGATCTGACATTTTTTTTTTAAATAAAGATCTATGTATTTATTGAAAAATATGGAGAAGGAATCTCAAGTGTGCAAACTAGTCTAGTTTATACTGTAAGTCGACAATATTTACGCGAAGGCTGCTGTAGAACTGACCGATAAGCCGGCGATATGCGCTGAATACAGTCTATCGTCTACGCAAGCGTCTGCTTTTCGCACAGAATATAATTGCGGTCGCACGCTATAGGAAGAGAGCAAATTAAACGATAATACATGTATAGCTCGACTATAAATGTGTATGTTTACGCTATATGTACTCTTGATCGCTGCGCACCGGGTATACCGTCCGGGTAAACTGTTATTTTGTCGTCTCCATCGTGAGGTGACAAATCATAAATATATATATATTTTTCATGAGACAGCTATCGTTTTTTCTAACGCACAATATATATATATATACTTCAAGCTTCTCGTCAAAAAGTATATTTTCGGAGATTCTGTATTGCTATATAACAGAGATTAAATGTACGTCGACAAACATTTCGTTGCATTTAATTGTACTCTCTATTCTGAAATCTTTCCCTAAATCTTCAAAATATATGCAAATGTCACACATAATAAATTTATGCAGTACAATCTGTCTTTCATTCATTCTACGCATATGATTTCACAATCATACATAATGAGCGCAAGAAAAAAGATTTTTTACAGCTGTTTCAGAATAGAGAGAGATTCAGAATAGAGGAATACAGAATAGAGAGTTTTTACTGTATATTTTTTTTCGGTAGAGAGAAAACTGAGAGATGTCATGGCCTGCTTTTAGGTGATCCTTGAAAGCGATATTCCCTCTATGGACATTGAAAACGTGGACATGAACTACAAAGCCAAAGTCCATGAATGTTCTCAGAGGGTATCATGTGCACAATTTCTGGTTTCGTTCCGTGCTATGTGCACGAAATGTCGGTAACATCAGAGTATAACAAGACACTCATGTATATAAATTGATAGTAAATAAATTATGCAATCGTGAAAGATACTGTAATCTTCTAATGTAATGTTCAAAGATGAAATAATTATTTTTCTATATTCATTGCCATGTTTATATATTTTTATTTACAAAACACGAAATGCCTGCTGTGGAATAAAAACATTTTTAACCGTTATTTCTATAAATCTTAATTAGCAATAAACTGATCTTTGATATTTATTAATCACTTTTTTAATTATTTAAAAAAGTTATTATATTATTAATTATTTACTTATTTATTTATTACTTATTTAATTATTAATACATGTATAGAATTTGTCAAATTAATTACTGATTGTTCTAAAGTTTTTATAATTAAGATTCGAAAAATATAGTTGCAAAATATTTTAAATATCTCTTATATTTATGTACACATAGAATATATATATGTAATTCCAGCGCGTGTATTTCATATAATGTTTTAAATTGAATATATATATATATATATATATATATATATATATATTTCTAAACATAACGCAGCTATTTCAGAATAAAGTTGTAGCGTTATACTATATGTACATATATATATATTATATGTGTGTGTGTTTATTTGTGTATGTGTAGAGAGAGAGAGAAAGGGAGAGAGAGAGAGGACCACAAAATTTATTTAAAAAATTAAAATTAAAAATTTATTTATATTTATATACATATGCGTTCTGCTATACAACACTGATGGCATTTCGTGTACATAGGCATTTCGTGTACTACAGGCATTTTTTACATAGCACGGAACAGAATCAGAAATTGTGCACATATATGTTACTCTCTGAGAACTTTCGTGGACTTTGGCTTTGTAGTTCATGTCCACGTTTTTTAGATTAACAGAGGGCGTATCGCTTTCAGGGATCATCTAAAAGCGGGCCATGACACCTCTCAGTCTTCTCTCTGTTCATACAAATCTATCCGGACGCCATCTAGATCCTCGTTGCTTGGCAGCTTCTTATCATTAGCCGTCTGCTACGAGTTTGACGCTTGACGTGTGGGACAAACAAGATACGGATCAGCGGCGACGAGGCTCCGCGATGCCTCCGTCCGTCGTGATTTTGAGAAGATCTAAGAGCCAAGCCCGGTATCATCCACCACGTTGATCCGATCTCCACGAGAATTCCCCATGAGGCTTTCACGCGACGTACGTTGTCGAAGCAGTCCTCTGCAAAACGGTTCGTTATTAGTGGCCTGGAATCACGATATCATCGATAGCTGAAGATAAATTGTCGCACGGGATATTGTTATCGGTACTGATCAGCGGAAAATTCGTGCCGATTACGAAAACCTGAAAGCTGTCAAAGTGACAGCTCGCGTGGATAGGTATGTATATATATGTGTATGTGTATGTATGTGTCAGGTAACACTCTGATCTGTACTTATTACGCATCCTGAAAGAGAGTGAATCATTCCCATCAGTAATAGATTTCTTTCTTCCAGTCAATATATATCATCGTCAGTACGAGCAATATCATCTGTGGCTGCTTTTAAACAATATGTAAAAATTTAACAAGAGATTCTACATTGAAAAAAACAAGTGAAAAACAATTGTTGAACACATGTGTTGAGCAATTTAAATTATGCAAAATTGAATAATTGAAAGGCCTATTTATACGTAATTCTAATTTGAACGAGAATTATATTATAAAGATTAAAGATGTCAGGTGGAGAGAGAAAGAAAAGAGGCTGCGATAGAGGGCATGGGTGGGAAGAAGCTGGTGCTGAATTCTATCAAGAGAGTTATCCGGCAGCTATCGAAGCGGATCTGCAACAAGCTCTACAGAAAGACCCTTCGCATATAGCCACTTTACTTCCTAGCAAGAAGTCTCGTGTTGGTAAGTTTAAACAATTGCAAATAAATTTTTCCATTTTTTTACATATCATTTTACATATCCTTATTTGCTGCAGCCACAGCAAAACGAATTCGAAATGACACAAAAACAACGTTGAGAAGACGCACAAGTACTCGATCTCGTGGTACTACAACATCAAGGCGTATGTCAACCAATATACACGATGCAGCAGTATCTATGCTACCGGATCTTTCAGAAAACTTGTCCAACGAAGAACGTACCTGGGAAGAAATTATGCAGATCAAAGCAATGCCTGTATGCATGTCTCAAAAGATGCAATTGAAGAATCAATTACAGGTATTTTGGAAAACTTATTTCTTTTATATGATATAATTAATATAATTTAGATTAATCTTTACCTGTACGTATTTCAGAGCGCCACAAAGTTGAGACTTCAAGGCTTTGAACAATTAAAATGGCAGCGTAGAAAAGCTTGGCAGCAATTTCGCATAAGAATGAAGGAGACCTGGTCCAAGATGGAGCTATGGAATGACAGTCTCAAGAAAATAGGCGGAAATTTTGGGATGGGTATAGTGGCATATTTTTTATTCATCAAATGGTTGATGTATCTAAATCTTCTTCTGTTTGCAATTATATTCTTACTGGTAGTGTTGCCAGCAATCTTGCTTGAAACGCCCGTGAGCGAAATATGTTTGTCTAACAACACTGCCAGTGTAGCATGTTGTTCCGAATTGTATAGGAATATGACTGATGAGAGTGATAGTATAACTAAGATCGTGCAAGGCATCTTAGAATATACTTTGCTGTTTTATGGCTGGTACACGCATAAGATCTATGAGAGCGTAGGCGTCAATTTCTATTACAATTCGCCGCTGGCCTACATTTGTGCCATCATCAGCGTCTTCATCATTAGCCTAGTAGCGATCGTCCGATCGGCCGCCAAAGGTTTCAAGGAAAGAGTAGTAGAGGGTGAGGGTCAATTTTATCAATATTGCAATTTGGTCTTTGGCGGCTGGGATTACTGCATTCACAATGAAAAATCCGCTGCCGTAAAGCACAAGGCGTTGTACAACGAGATAAAGGCATTTCTGGAAGCAGAAAGAATGGAAGAAGAACGGCAAAATCGCACGAGGGAGGAGAAGACGAAACTTTTCTTTATACGTCTGTTCGTTAATCTATTAGTTTTAACAGTACTGAGCGCTTGCGGCGCGTTCATTTATTATGTGATCGACTTCTCGTTCGATCAGTTGACATACTTGGCGCAAGAACACGAGATTGCTCGTTTATTCTTCGAATTCCTTCCATACGTATGCATTGTTGGACTCAACGTGGCGATTCCATTTCTCTTTCGCTATCTGGTCGCTCTAGAAAATTACAGTCCATCGTACGTGGTTCGTGCAACGCTATTCAGAACCGTCTTTCTTCGACTTGCTTCTCTCGTCGTTCTGTTAACGTCTTTGTACAGACTTGTCGCGGACAAAATTCCGGAGAATGAATGTTTCCACCAACAGTTCCGGAGAATGAATGTTTCCAACAGTACGAACAAACTACCGTTATGCTGGGAAACGTTCGTGGGGCAACAATTCTTCAAGCTGTACACCACTGATCTCTTCATTCAATTCTTCATGACGTTCTTCGTCAATTTTCCGCGCTCGCTGATCGCGCGACACACCGAGAACAAGGTCCTGCGCTTCGTCGGCGAGCAGGAGTTTGATCTGCCTAAGCACGTACTGGATATCATCTACTCGCAAACGATCTGCTGGCTCGGCTGCTTCTTCGCCCCGTTATTACCAATGATCGCCGTAATCGGCACGTTCTTGCTATTCTACGTGAAGAAATTCACCTGTTTGGTGAATAGTACACCGTCGAGTAAGATTTATCGCGCGAGTAGATCGAATTCTCTGTTCATGTTCATCCTGCTTGTCTCCTTTATTCTGGCGGTGATACCGGTCGGCTATTCCATTGCGGAGATCATGCCGTCGAAATCGTGCGGACCGTTTCGCGAATGGGAGTCTGTATGGACGTTATTAATCGCGACGTTTTCATGCTTTCCCGACTGGCTGCAATCGACTCTGTTCTTCTTGGGTACAGCTGGCTTCGGTATACCAGCGTTCGTTATTCTCGCTTTACTTCTCTATTATTATTACGCAGTGTCGATAGCGAACAAGCATATGGTGACAGTGTTGAAGAATCAATTGGTCTTAGAAGGCCACGATAAACAATTTTTACTGAATAGACTCAGCGCTTTCATCAAGCAGCAACAGGATCAGAACAAGTTTCATCAGGAACAAACTAATGAATTAGGCACGTTTCAACATGTATAAATAGTATAAAATTTGATTTTATTATTTGTTCTTTTTCTGAATGTACAGAATGCGTATTATTTAACAGCTTGCTTTTGTAGATTTTATAGATTTTAATTACGAAACATAAGACTGTGTCGATTTTATCTTCTTTATTATATTGTATACACGAGTTGGTGTTTTACTAACCGTTTTTTTTGATACTCTATATCGAATTGGATAAAAACTCTATCAGATTATACAGGAATGCGCGGACAATACCAAAGATTAATATGCATTCTATTTATGCTGCTCATTGCAGTGTCTTTATACAAAGATGTTTCTTAAAACTTGAATGTATTACAGTCACACTGCCAAAGATTTGAATTTTCAAGAAATTTTCAAAAATTTTATAAAATCGGTTTTTCACACACAATTTGCATTCAAACGGAACATATCTCACGTTCTAAGAAATTCAGTCACCTCAATGTGTATATGAAAATATACATCTGAAATCAGGGTACAAAAGAGAAACGGAAGGTGTTGCAAGTATTATTGCAATAGTAACTGTATGTGAATTATTCATTCATTGTAATTCTATATAATTTTATGAGTATCCATTAATATTAATATTAATGTAAAACCATACAAATTTATAATGTTAAACGCGAACAAAGTCTAATTCAGTGGATAATGCGTAATAAGATCTTCAGTGAAAATAACACATTATACTATATTATAAATTAAATAACACATTATACTATATTATAAATTAATGTGATCGCATTTAACATAAAAGAAGAGACTAAATCACAAAGAAAAAACAGAGATTATTCAATAATCTATATCTGTCACTTGTTGGACACCTTCCTAGTTTGCCTAAGGCTTCACTTTATTGGCCTCAGTCTAAAATCGAACAGGCAGGTACTCGTACATACCCGTCTGATTACGTATAAGATGTGATTAAAATATGTTTAGCTTAATATATGAACAATATTGTATAACAGAATAACCGTCTCTATAAGACTAGCATTTACTTCCACAATTTTACATGTAAACGTTAGAGAGCTTTTGCATGAGTGAAACAAAGTGATATGCAGTGGACCTATTTTTAGCTTCTTAGAAACTTGTAATTGTTATTACTGTAAATAGGTCCTCTACAACTCCTAAAAAGTTATTTTATTAGCGACACTTATAGTAAATAACGCGCGCGCGCGGAAAAAGTATATCACAGATAGAAATATTTTATTATATTTATTATTTCGTTATATATCGAGACAGGAGTTTACTATAATTTAGAATGTAAGAGGACGAGCGAATGTAAGAAATTTTGTAATTTAAAACGATATTTACATATATATAAAGTTCTGGATTAGTTCTACAAATATCATACCTCAGTATTATTAAAACGCCAAAGAAAATTCAGGTTGAGATTGTAATAATTTGATTATTCTGTTTTTTTATTATAGCATTAATATGAGGATTATATAAACAAACGTATTTCTTGTTCATAGGATACACACACTTTCTCGCACTGCCAATAATCCTACATAGTACAGGAATGAGAATATTCTTATTCCAAACTATATGTTTAGAAATTAATTCTGTCGACATCGTGCACATTCAATACACGCTATCACAAATTGATTGGGATCCTTTGGCCTAAATAACTTGATATATATTGGTAAATGTATTTTGTAAATTCATATATCTAAGATAGCATGTATGGATGCTCACATCCTTCATTAATCAACGATGGCTGTCAAAGTATCAATAGTGGCACTAAATGCATTTAATATAAAATCATATATAATATGGTAATCTTATGTAAAACGAATTTATGTCTTTCTGAAAAAATCTGCAGAATGCATTCACGATATATTGTACTATTACATTAAAAAAGAAGAAAAAAGCAATGAAGTCCACAAATAGAGAACTCTGTTTCTTTAAATGTTACTGCTAATTAGATTATATTGATACTGTCATTATCTCTCTTTACACTTTCTTCATGCATTTTACAGTCATAGATTCTTATGCCTATATCGTATACTCATTATTTATGGCATAATCATCCAATTATGATGCTATAAAAATATATCTGTTATACACAGAGAAAGAATGTATCTTTATCTTCTCTACCTCCTTTTTCTAAGCATAAAATTATATTATCAAACAAGAAATTTTTTAAAATATTTTTCTGTTGGAATAATTCTTCCTTTGATATCATCTTATGTTTCTGATGAATGTAACTAGAAAAATTATTATTTACATATATCATGATAATGACTATAATAAGAGGAAATTATCTCAATAGAAGAGAAAATAATCACCGCTTCAGCTATATCAATCCAATCCAATGCTGCTACAAGAGAATCATTCTTAGATGGTATTCTGTCGTAATTCCAATATGTGAATTGTGAAAACGTTCCTGTGCAATATAAATTACGGTTCTTGTTTTCAGCGTCTGTCTTCTTATTTTCCATAAACATTATGCCTTTGTATCCAGCAGGTACAATTACTTTCTTCCCTTGAAGTGGATAGCCACGGAACGAGCAATCGTAATCTTTATAGAATAAAATGATAAATATTTTCTGCTATAAAATTCTATATTCGATACTTAAATTACTTACGTTCTTCGTCAATTTTACGAATGGAAGATTTGAAGTAGGAAGAGACATTCGCTGCTTGGTCGCCGTGAATTTTACATGGCATAAGATGTAACTCGGACTCCTCCTGCTTAGCTAAATCTTTTTTGTTGATGTGTAAACGAATAGCCATATTAATTTAATATGACACGAAACAATATGAGAATTTTTCGGAAAATATTAATATTGATAAAAATGTGGAAATCGTCTGCATAACCTTTATCCTGTTCAAACTAAAACGAACAGCACATGTCGCGCTATACTACCACAAATTCAGTTCATATCAAGCTTCAAGTCAATATTAAATAATGTTAAGAGATATGATTCTCTTGAGGATATTATTTTAATATTTATTTAATTATTTTATATTATTTTCGCTTTTTTATCTGTAATTGTATCTGTAGAAATGTGTGTGTGAACTGAGAAATAAAAGAATAGAAATACAAATCAACTTAAAGACATACACTAGAATCAGAAGATAATTTCGCGTATGGAGCACATTGTTTTTCATAAAATTAAATTTATATAAGAAATTTCCATTTGTAGAATAATTGGTTAATACATTCAACAATTTTTCATGAGAATAAATTTTCAAATACAAGAAACAATGCACTACATTACATTGCAAAGTTGAGTATGTAACTAATTTATTTGATACATCCTAAAAAACATACTTTTCTAAAGATTATTACAGAAATGTGACAAATTATTAAGTATTAAGGATTTAAAGAGGATAATATATATATAATATTAAGTATTTAATATATTAGTTTTATTCATACTTGCATATATTTTGTGTATACTTTTATATATATTTGCACAATTCATTGTATTTCCATGATTTAATTTACAGTCTTTATATCTCACATTATAAATTAATTCCAACTATCTATTTTTGACAAGTGGACAAATATATATTTACATAATTATTTTATTTTTATTATGTTTGACTTGTAGAAAACATAATTAGATATATATACACATGTTTCAATTGCCTATAGGCTTAAAATGACAAAATTAAAAGTTGTCATTTTAAAAGTGAGATTCCATATGTGAGCAATACATAATATTTTTTAACAATATTAATTTTTTTTTAAATATTATTAACAAAATATGATTTTAAAAAAATAATTCAAAATTATATTATCATTTAGAGATATTTTAAATTTAAAGATTTTGAAATCAAACACACTTGTGTTATACTTCGAGTTATAAGCATAAGCGTGAATAATAATTATTAATATTTTTGCTTGATTATTTTAATATCCATAGCTTGTTGTGATATAAGCCTTTGTTACGATCAACATTATATAAAATTTAATATTGTCGACCTCTGCCTCTATTGTAGCCGCCACGTTGATAATTATTCATGCCGGAATTATTACCACCTTGATTCCATCCACCTTGAACTCTGCCTCCTCTTCCACTCCCCTCCCTTCCTCCACTTTCTCTCCTGTCTTGATAATAATTTCCACTACTTCGATTATCATTTCCATAAGAATCTCTTTGGCCAGAATATTGCGGTTGTTGATAGTTTTGGCCATAACTTTGATTATAAGTTTGATTATAATTTTGACCGTAATTTTGACTATAATTCCCACTGGAATCTCCTCGATAATTTCCGCCTCCTCTACCACTGCTACCTCTTTGATATCCTCCTGTATCTCTATGATCTGGATAACATTCTCTATGACCTTGTCCAGAGTATTGAGACTGCTGATAATCCAAGTTTTGACCGAAATTGCTACTGGTGTCTTTATGATCACGGTAGCCTCCACTACCAGCATTTCCTCCTCCTCCTCCTCCTCTTCCTCCTCCTCTGCCACCTCCTCCTCTGCCACCTCTATCTCCACTTCCTCCTCCTCTTCCGCCCCTAAACAAAAAGAAATCATATAATTATGGTACAATTAATAAATATATTTATTATTTTTGTATATTTTCTTTTTTTCGATTCTTACTGAAACGATTGTGGTCCTTGGACTCTATCCTTTTGCCATGGTGGCATCTCTGGTGGAGGAGGTTCTTGTTCATATGGTCTGCCTCCTCTGTCAGGCACCGCTCCAATAATGACGCTATTAATTTTGCTCCGTGTGTTCTTGCGAACACTCGCATTACTCGTCTTCTCGATCACAGCTAGATCATCTCTTGCTGCCAGTAGATCGGCCATTGTTACCTTTGGCTCATTTTTCAAAGTCATTCTTTTGTCCTCATATCTAGTATTTACCTCATGTTCCTGTAGCTTTATTTTGTCTGACCACTAAATAAAATGATTACATGTTGAGTGATATAATGATCAATATAATTGCTAATTTATATAAAAAAAATATTTTTGTTTCTCAAACCAATTCTTACCAAGAATGATTGAACTGTGACATCAAGACGTTTAAGTAACATATCACGGCGAATTGTATACTCTTTGTGCATTGCTTCTTGCAATTTATTCAATTCTTCCCATTGTTTAGCAGAAAGCTCTACATCTATAAGTGGTTTTCCTAAATGATCAGTCGACACAGTCTTTAGTGTTTCTGATAATTTAGTTTCTAGCTTCGAGAATAAAAATTCAGGCGAAATATTGTCTGGTGGTTTTTGAAACTTTAATGTTACTAGAATATTTTTCAAGCTTCTTGCAGTATCACTCTCATCCTATAAATAAAGAATAATCAGATATATTTTGCAATGTCATCTGTTTTTTCATTAGTTTTTTCAACCTATTCAAATTATAATTACTTGCAAAAATAGCTTATTATATACAAGCTAGAGATTATAATCCTATAACTATTATTGCTTAAAAATATTTACAATAGTAACTTCCATCTGTTTTTCCTCTTTAGGACATTTCACTTCCAATAATTTGCAAGCCATAAGTTCTGCAGCCAAGAATTCTATCAGGATAGCTCTTTCAGATTCATTAGACAGTCTTTGATTTACATGTCCAGTCATTAGTTTCTCATTTACACATCCTATTTCCTTAAGAAAGAAACTTAATTCTAAGAGAAAGGAACTAGCATCGTCTGCACTTGTTGTAGTGTGAACAGTCTCATCTATGTCGATAAATGTTGCCAGTTGCTCGGCAAACCAACCTACAAGACTAGTAAAGTCTGGCGATTTTGCACCAAGTTTCAGAGCTTGCGATAGCTTGTTGACGTCGAGCATTACTCCCGTATACCTATAAAATCATTAAAAACTCAAATATTCGTATTCTACATGTTTTCAGTAAAAAATTATAAGAGACAAGCCTATCGTTATATTAAAAAATAAAATATTAATAAATATTTTATTTAGATTCTCTCAATATTTAATTTGAGATTTAAAATATGGAATATATCGTGAAATCTTTCTGCGATATACAACTTGCAACTACTCACCCAACATCTTCGAGAATTTGCAACAACCTCTCCTCCATGTCGATAGTACGTCTTCAGATCTTGAGCAAAATATGGTATAATAAATATAATACAATAAAGACGAATGACGTATATCGTTCGAGGATTAGCGTAGGACGAATTGCGTCACAACGAAATGTTTTATCATCTATTCGTTCAACTCTCTGATATTGCTCGATATTGCGATAATGTAACATTCATCGTATCGCGCACAGAACCGGTAACCGGTCGTTTCGCACTCTGACACGAATCAAATTTTATACAAGAGAATATACATAGGTTGCGTTCAGCTTGACACTACAAAAAAGTTTTCGATTGAAATTTTGTTCGATTGACCAATCGGGACGAAGACCTCTTTGCTTTGATTGGTCGAGCAAAAACGTGACGTCAATGAAGTATATATATCTGTACGAAATAGACTTAAGTCCGCTTCCAATTACATTTTTGAGAATTTGAGATTACATATCGAGGTGCGAATCTCGAATGAAATTCTTACGTGATAAAAAAATGAGAATAAAATTGTAAAGGAAAATTCAGAAATTCTTTAGGCAGAAATAAAATACTCGGAAAACAAAAAGAACAACCGAAACAACAGGAAGAGAGATGAATTCGTTGTAAAACGATCCTAAAGATTCCGGCATCGTGTCATCAGTATTCTCGGATTCTTTTTCTCACGCGTACGTATTGAACGTGGTTTCATTAAAGTACCAAGTTTATGAAAAAAAGTGCACTCTTGAACTCTATTCTATTCTTGGAAATAATTTGAAAATAATCTGTCAATAATCAGTAAATGAAAATTTATATTGAAATATGTACTAAAATTGCAAATATTTCTTTAGATTGCGATGTGCGTCGATTTCCATGTGAAATATACCGATAGGATTAAAAATAATAAAATTTCCACGCTTGTACATCCCTGGGCTCACTCCCCTATTATGCTGCGCATGCGCGAGCAGAGGCACCTCCTAGAGCACTACCAGAGAGAAACCTGAGAGCGGCCGGGTATATTGTCCTAATGCGCTCCCTGACAAAGTGGACGTCAACTACATCCATTACAGTCGATAATAATACATGGTTCGTGTCTGAGCTATGGTTCATGTCCAAGCTATGGAGTGACCCCAAAAGTGATACTCCCTCTATGGACATTCAAAACATGGACATGAACTACAAAAACAATGTCCATGAATGTTCTCAGAGGGTAATATATAATTGCACAATTTCTGGTTTTGTTCCGTGCTATGTGCACGAAATGCCGCTAGCACCAGTGCTATATACCAATTAAATACTTATGTGTGTAAATTGATAATAAATAAATTATTCAATCGCGACAGATACTGTAATATTCAAAGATGAAATAAATATTTTCAAAATAAATTGGTAAATAATACGGCTCTATGTATTTATCAACATGATAATTAAGTAAAGAGCATTAAGAGCCCACAAAACGCGGATGGCAATGCGTAAATTATTTCGAACATTAATTGTTCGCGAAATTTTTTTTTTTTTTTTTTTTTTTTAAATGCGTTATTAGGAGAACATGATTTGTAAAGAGATCATCAACACATTATCGACCTCCTCGCAAAATATATTCTCCTGATAATATAAAATAATAAGAAACGAATTTTCGAAAATTTTCACGCTTGCGTTATTAGGAGAACATGATTTGTAAAGAGGTCATCAACGCATCTTCGACCTCCTCGCAAAATATATTCTCCTGATAATATAAAATAATAAGAAACGAATTTTCGAAAATTTTCACGCTTGCGTTATTAGGAGAACATGATTTGTAAAGAGGTCATCAACGCATCATCGACCTCCTCGCAAAATATATTCTCCTGATAATATAAAATAATAAGAAACGAATTTTCGAAAATTTTCACGCTTGCGTTATTAGGAGAACATGATTTGTAAAGAGGTCATCAACGCATCTTCGACCTCCTCGCAAAATATATTCTCCTGATAATATAAAATAATAAGAAACGAATTTTCGAAAATTTTCACGCTTGCGTTATTAGGAGAACATGATTTGTAAAGAGGTCATCAACGCATCATCGACCTCCTCGCAAAATATATTCTCCTGATAATATAAAATAATAAGAAACGAATTTTCGAAAATTTTCACGCTTGCGTTATTAGGAGAACATGATTTGTAAAGAGGTCATCAACGCATCTTCGACCTCCTCGCAAAATATATTCTCCTGATAATATAAAATAATAAGAAACGAATTTTCGAAAATTTTCACGCTTGCCTTATTAGAAGAACATGATTTGTAAAGAGGTCATCAACGCATCATCGACCTCCTCGCAAAATATATTCTCCTGATAATATAAAATAATAAGAAACGAATTTTCGAAAATTTTCACGCTTGCGTTATTAGGAGAACATGATTTGTAAAGAGGTCATCAACGCATCATCGACCTCCTCGCAAAATATATTCTCCTGATAATATAAAATAATAAGAAACGAATTTTCGAAAATTTTCACGCTTGCGTTATTAGAAGAACATGATTTGTAAAGAGGTCATCAACGCATCATCGACCTCCTCGCAAAATATATTCTCCTGATAATATAAAATAATAAGAAACGAATTTTCGAAAATGTTCACGCTTGCGTTATTAGGAGAACATGATTTGTAAAGAGGTCATCAACGCATCATCGACCTCCTCGCAAAATATATTCTTTTGATACTATAAATTATAAGAAACGAATTTTCGAAAATTTTCACGCTTGCGTTATTAGGAGAACATGATTTGTAAAGAGGTCATCAACGCATCTTCGACCTCCTCGCAAAATATATTCTCCTGATAATATAAAATAATAAGAAACGAATTTTCGAAAATTTTCACGCTTGCCTTATTAGAAGAACATGATTTGTAAAGAGGTCATCAACGCATCATCGACCTCCTCGCAAAATATATTCTCCTGATAATATAAAATAATAAGAAACGAATTTTCGAAAATTTTCACGCTTGCGTTATTAGGAGAACATGATTTGTAAAGAGGTCATCAACGCATCATCGACCTCCTCGCACAATATATTCTCCTGATCATATAAATTATAAGAAACGAATTTTCGAAAATTTTCACGTTTGCATTATTAGGAGTACAGGATTTGTAAAGAGGTCATCAACGCATCATCGACCTCCTCGCACAAAATATTCTCCTGATAATATAAATTATAAGAAACGAATTTTCGAAAATTTTCGCGCTTGCGTTATTAGGAGAACATGATTTGTAAAGAGATCATCAACGCATCATCGACCCCCTCGCAAAATATATTCTCCTGATAATATAAAATAATAAGAAACGAATTTACGAAAATTTTCGCGCTTGCGTTATTAGGAGAACATGATTTGTAAAGAGGTCATCAACGCATCATCGACCTCCTCGCAAAATATATTCTCCTGATAATATAAATTATAAGAAACGAATTTTCGAAAATTTTCACGCTTGCGTTATTAGGAGAACATGATTTGTAATGTCTGCTGAATAACATAGGGAAATGTTTTGAACGCATTCTACTCGAACATCTCAAGGAATCGATGAGATCCAATGGGTTTGCCAAATTAGCTAAATTTCAGTTTGGCTTCAGAGATCGAAAGTCAACCGTCGACGCTCTGGAGTTGGTCAAAAAACTAGTGAATCGTGCAGTGGAACAAGACAACCTTGCGATTGCGGTGAGTCTTGACATTAAGAACGCGTTTAACTCAATTCCGTGGGTCGTAATCAAGAACGCCTTGCTAAGGAAAAGGTATCCGTGGTACCTTCGCAGGATAATTGGCGACTATCTTTCAGAGCGTAGAGTTGAGTTTCCTACGGAACGCGGGAGAACTGTAATTGTAGCACTGGCGGGCGTACCACAGGGTTCCGTACTAGGTCCAGTCTTATGGAATATTGCGTTCGACTCGATTTTAGACCCAACGGGCGAGGACGGATGTAATACTATTTGTTTCGCGGACGATACGTTAATACTATCAGAAGCAGGCACTGCGTCGCTGGCAGCGGAGAGAGCTAATTGTCAGGTTAGCAAGATTCTGAATAGAATCGCAAAGCTAGGACTAACAGTTGCTACCGAGAAAACTGAGGCGGTGATATTCCATGGTGGAAAAAAGAAGCCAATAGGTACATTCATTATAAGAGTAGGCAAAAACAAAATCGTCGTTGGCGAAGCCATGAAATACCCAGGCATAATGTTAGACAGTAGGCTCAGCTTCCGCGCTCACTTTGAATATATCGAAAGCAAAGTGTCAAAAGTAGCGAGGGCACTAGCGAGGCTCATGCCTAATCTGCGTGGACCTGGAGAACGCAAGAGACGTCTCTACGCAACGGTCGTACTATCGGTCATCATGTACGGAGTCCCTGTATGGTGCGAAGCATTTGAAAAGAAGAGGGAGGCTCGCACTGCTCTAAATCGCGTTTGGAGAAGTATTCTGCTAAGAGTTGTAGCGGCTTATAGAACCGTATCGCTAGATGCTTCCCTACTGCTTGCGAGAATGCCGCCATTACAGCTAATCGCCAAGGCAAGAACATATACACATACGGAAATCGGCAAGTTGCGGAAGAGGAACGAAGAAACTCACCAAACAGTTAAGGCGGTTAGAGTGGAAGCGGAAGAACGGCTGCGCGAAGAATGGTTCACGTACCTGAGCAGGGATAACGTGTCGGGCACCAGAACGATGAGAGCTATACTGCCGCATTTCAAGAAATGGATTGACAGAGAGCATGGAAATATCAGTTTCAGATTGACACAAATGCTAACCGGTCATGGATGCTTTGCATCCTACCTGTATAGAATAGGTAAACTTAGTTCTTCGGACTGTCAAGAATGCGGGCTCGCCACCGAGGACACTGCTGAACACACCATTCAGGAGTGCGCTAGGTGGTCTACTCTAAGAGAAAACCTAGCAGAAAAAATAGGTCCCGATCTAACGCTTACCGCTCTGGTTAGCGGAATGTTGGACTCGGAGGACAAGTGGATGGCTGTCTCCTTCTTTGCGGAAACAGTCATATCGACGAAGGAAGAGGAGGAGCGTCTACGGCAGGGAATGGTTCCCTCCCGCACCCTTTCGCCGTCACAAATGGAACCCGGGGGGTAGGTGGGGTTGATTCTTTAACAATCCCATCGCTCCACGGGTCCCGGAATCAGGCATCAGGAAAAGAAGAAACAACAGGAAAGGAAAGCAGACGGAGCGCATAGCTGGCGCTACACCGGCCGAGTCGCGGTAGTTATGTGATTGCGTTCCCGCGGTCTGGT